GGGTCCCAAAAAGCAGCAGAGGCATTTGGAGCCTTGCAGACTCCAGGTGGGATGCGTTCTGGGGACGTGTCCCTTCGGGTTGCATGTAAGGAAAGTCCATTTGTGCCAGGAGACCACAGATTTTTCCACCCTTCTTCCTCTACAGAGGAAACTTCTCCAGGGCGGAGGGCTGACTCCTTCGGGTGCCTGACCCCTTTCTTCTGGACTTAGGTGAGCCGATGTGGCATGGTGGTTAGTGTTGGATCAGAGACTGGGAGAGCTGGGTCCTAGCCCTGCTCCACCATGAAGCTCACTGGGCGACTTTAGCCCAGTCACGCACTCTTAGCCTACCTCACAGGGTTGTTGCTGTGAGGACAAAATGGAACTTCATAAGTTGCACTGGGATATAAATGCAATATAATAGTAGTAGTGATAATCTCACTATTGCAGAGTTCTGGGAATGAAGGTTTTAGTAACAAGACACTGTAATCCAGCTCTCGGGCGAAAGCGTGTAATCCTACCTTATCACTGAATGAATAGAACAATAAAAATTGTTGGGCGTTTGTGAACAGGAGAATGAGGTCATGGGCAGAGCCCTCAGGATCACATTACAGCCTTGGAAACGGGGAAATCGGAAGGGATAGGCTAGGTTAGAACTCCTGCACACTGCGGCTTGGTGAGGGAAGGCACCCGTTAAGGAGTGTGCCAGACGTCCTGCTGAAAGCAGTTTGCCATCATTGGGAACCCAAGTGCTGACATTGGCCAAACTGGGAGTCCCTCCCATTGGCTGGTTCTTGTCCCTGGTACAACCCTCACCCTGCCCCTGAGAGGGTGAAAATGCCCACCCACATGTGCCCCAGAGTTCTTCAAACGTCATCCTCCTTCCTGGGCCTCTAAGCAGTGCAACTTTATACTCAGAAGTAAGTCCCATTGGGCTCAATGGGCCTTGCTCCCAGATGAGTGGAAATAAACTGCTGTTCAGACCATTAGATGTATCTTGATTTTAGTGTACAACATGGGAAGGGGAGCTTCCGAGCCACTGTGAGGCGCAGAGGGAGAGGTTGGGCACCTGCTGGATCCAAGAGCCTCTCCAGTCTTACTCCCGTCCCCAGCATTTTAGAGGGATTTAGATGGGCTCTGAAAAATGAAAACTCTTTATAGCTGGGCTATTCCCAGATGCCTCCAGCATTCTGCCTGCCCTACCAGCAGGAGCCCGACGGGGTCAGGGCTCTGGAACTGATCTAGACGATGTCTTTCTATCGGCATCCCAATACCTGGCCTCACAGGACGCTCACCCTAAGACCAACTTCCTTGCACTCTTTCTGCCGTTATATCCTGGATTTTTTCAGAGCAGTAACATCATGGCACTTTTACATGCTGCCTTTTTCCTGCGGTGCATATTTCAGAGTGTGCCAAACTTGCAGTGCTCTTCTATGGGGGAGAGGAGTACTTTCAGCGGGTTGTGGGGGCAGAGAGTGGTGGAACAAGAGGAAGCTTCATGCATCCTCCAGAAACAGCAGCAACTCTGAGAAGGAGAGAAGCACAGTCTGTCCTCAGTTGCTTTTCTGCCTTCCCCACCTATGGCTTCTCTCTCTCCGACTTTTCCAATGGACTGGAGAATAAATGCAATGATGCTCTCCCCTTGCCTCAAGGAGCAACTTGATGCAAATGCTCTAGAGGTATGTGTTAGTTGTGACGTGCCTCAAGTTGTCTCCAACTTTTGTTGACCCTATGAATGAAAGACCTCCAAAATGGCTCATCCGTGGCAAGTCCTGCTCAGCTCTTGTAAATTCAGGACTGTGGCTTCCCTTATAGAATCAGTCCATCCCATATTTGGTCTTCCTTTTCTTCTTCTGCCTTCAACTTTTCCCTAGCTTTCTTCTCCAGGAAGTCTTGCCTTCCCATGATGGGTCTGAAGTATGACAGTCTCAGTTTTGTCATTTTTGCTTCTAGGAAAAGTTCTGCTTGAAATTGATCTATGGCCACTTGTTCATCTTTCTGTTGACCCAAGGAATTCGCAAAACTCTTTCCAACCCCATGTTTCAAATGCATCAATCTTCTACCTACAAGCTTTCTTAACTGTCCCGCTTTCATATCCATGGTGACTGGAAACACAATAGTGTGGATAATTTTGACCTTGGTCTCCGGTGAGACATCCTTTCACTTGAAGTGAAGATATAAATATTTTAAACAAACAAACAACACATGCCTAATGAGGGGGGGAACCCAACTTTTTTGAAGGCCACTTCCCATCAGCTTTCCAACTTCTCCTCCTCCTCCCACAGTTGCCTTTGAGCGAGACACAAGGTCACATTGTCTGCACAGTAGGAACTGCGCTGTCTTCCTCAGCATGTGCCCTGGCAGCAGTCAGTGAAAGCCGTGTCTGCCTTCCCTCCCAAATGGAAGTGGCTCGAGTGCAGGTCCTGCCCAAGCCAGGCTGTGCAAGAGCAAAGCGGCGCTGAACGGAGCAGGAGTGGCCTCGCACACAGTGCCAAGTGCTGAGCGAGGCTTCTGTGCAGAGGCGTGTGAGCAGAGCACCCAAAAGTGTTGCCCCACATCACCTTTGGTCCGAGTGGTGAAATGTTGAAGTAAAGTTCAAGCAGCTTTTCTAAATCATTTCAGTGTGATTCAAGGTCATCTATGGCCATATGAATCCAATTGCCTTGTTATTAGTCTCCTTTAAAATGACTGCTCTGTGAGGAGTCATAGACACAGAAGTTCTTGGAAGGGTGCTTATGTTGGCTGGGACAGAAATAGATGCTGCTTTCACAATCTGACTGCAAAGGCCGGTTAGGTGATGGGATGTAAAGGGGATGATTAGCTTAGTCCTTTTTAAGGGCATAAAATACACCTTAAGGCATTGAGTTGCCCTGAATGATATGCCACGGATTATTTGATGTCCATATAAACAGAACAATTAACTGGGTGCACTATAAAGGACTTACAGTATATACACAAGGCTATGAATCCACAGTTTCGACGCAAAATTGAGATCTGAGCACAACGTGAGAGGTGTTTTCTTTTTTGCTTTGCTGGTACGTAACCCCCAGCACTGTGGCATAGCAGAATAGTGCAAATGCACAAGAGGAAATCATCCTTTCTTTCAGCATCAGGGGTACCCCATTTTTCATGCCCTTAAGCAAACCTCACTGACAGCACTGCTTACAAAGAGAAGTGAAACAGGAGAGCCATGGCATTGTCTAAAGAGCTCATAAACAAACATGGGTAGGGAATGACCACAAATGGCCCGGGTAGAAAAACTTCTAAGCTGAAGGAAAAGGAAAGAAATGGGCAGCTGGAAATGACAGCCTCATTCTTGTGAGTTGGATTTAGATATGTTCCAGGCAGGCAACTGCAGACATGGAGCACATATTCTAAAACAAACCCAGCTCAAGCAAAATTTACTCAAGAAAGCTAAAATTGCCTGCCTGTCTCTTCCTAAGCAGACTTGTTTTTGTTTTTGTGTGGGGAGTGACACATAAATACATGGATGCATATATATCCATAGCAATGGATGTATATGAAATGCATCCCTATGCTGATACAGCTTTCTAAGCATCATACGTAGGCATCAACAAAAACAGAGTGGCTGGACTTATTTTCGGGGTTGGAGCTGAGGAAAAGGTCTGAACCTCCTGCCCACCTGTTGGCCTGCATAAAATTGGCCCCTACTCCACACTGGGAGCCTTCTTGACTAAAGGGCAAGGGTCCAAATCTTTAAACAATCCACAGGTATGCAAATAAACATTCTCCATGTGGTTCAGAGTTCACAGACGTAATGAACGTGGACCTGGGTCAGGGCCAAGTGGAGGTCAACTTCAACCCGGAAGCTTCGGTGTCTCAAGCGCCGTTGCACCATGGAAGAGAAAGGCTGCTTTTCATTCGATTGCGCAGGTGCTTCCTGTGCGGCGAACTTGTTGAATCAACATCTGTGCCCTCAACTGTTGCACGGCTTCCACAACATTTCTAAATATCCCTTTACAATCCTGAGCATGCTGGGGGTCCATTATGCAAAAAGGGGGAATTATTAAAGGAGTTTCTATGTCCTAGAGATGGAGTGAATAATGTGTGCATGTATTGCATGTGTTCCATGAGCTCCACTTAGAATTCTCCAGCTGCTATTTGTGCACACTAACCAGAGGGAAGCCTTCCTGGGTGCTTGTGGTGAACAATTCAGCAGCATGGGGCATGGCAGGTGTTGTGGTTTTGATGCTGGTCTGCCTTGGAAGTTTATGCAGTCCAAGGGTGGTCATACCAGTACATAACTAGAAATTATTACATTCTAGTAAGTACTTCTACTTGGATGCTGTAGGCATTTAGTGTAGTGATTCTGAATAGATACAGCTTTGCATACACACACATTTGTACATGTGTGTACATATAGATATACATATGCAAGGGTGGGGAAAAGCCCTGTAGCACACCCCTGGTTGCTAAGGGGAGTTAATACTGAGCGCTCTGGGAGTATGTGCACAAAACTATAAGCCAGAGTTGCTTAACCTTCCTGGTTTACCTTGAACAAACAGCATGGTGGCACACACTGGTTACATGCCTTTATGAGAGCATATAAAACAAACTGGATCTAGAATGCTTTCTTTGATGCGTTCTTTGATGCAACTCTTTCTCTGAGTTCCTGGCTCATTCTTTACTGCAAATGTTCGACCCTGGAGCAACCGAAATAATTTTCCCTAAGCATATGCACAGTGTTTTATTTCCTGAATAAATGTCTACATTCTGCTTCACTGATCTGGATTATTGTCAGGGAGGGTGATTTTAAGGTCAAAGAGCCTGCTTTAAGGCAAGCTTGGGTCTTGAACCCCCTCACCTTTGGATGAGCAAAGCTTACTTGTCCATATATGAGTCATGGGGAAAGGGTGGGACGGACGGAACCCTGGAATTTCTGCAACATTAACTTCCCTTTATTGGCAAAAAAGAGTCCAGTATTTCATTTCACAACTTATTTAAGCTTGAATCTGACAGGCTTATCTTCTGTTGTGGAGAGTCCTGCATTCAGAGTTATTCTTGTCAACGAAAGAAGTTTTACATTTTCAGAAAACACCTGAAGGCTTCAGAATTCAGGTAAGTCAATGCTTACTTTTGGAAAGATACCAAGGTAATTTTCCCTACTCCTTCCAGTTCCTGTAGTTGCAGGTTTAGTTTTGGATTTTTTTAAAGAATGTGTGGAGTGGTACAATTTTATCATTGTTGTTTGAGATCATAGACATTCTTTTCTTTTAATGTTATATCTGAACCAATAGGTTTTGCAAGTTTCTGCATACTGCTGGCATTCTGCATTTCTAGCACAGTTAAAATATTTAAAAAACATAGCCTAAAGGTCAGCACAGCTTTGTATACGCAACAAACTTTGCAAAAACAGTTTGTTAGAGGCAGTAGAGAACTTAGCAGGGGCAGTGGGGTAAATGCCTCTCCCACAGTTAGGGCTCGGCTGCAACAGGGAGCGCTTTCAGCAATGCTTGTGAGTGACCGCAAAAAGCCACAAAAAGCTCATCCTCCCAAGTGTCTTTAGAGGGCAACGTCTAAAGGAGGCAGACATCTTGCCTGCTCATTAGACAGTGCAGAGTCCTGGACAGCGCAGGAAGCATTATCCTGACACTGAGCTGGCTTCGCTGCCCCTCAGTAGTCCTCATTCATCACATACTGATGCGATGTCTTCATATTCGTTACGTGATCTGGGGGATTACATCAAGAAGAAGAAAGAAGTCCTTAAAAATGGCACCAGAGCAGTTGTGGAGAGGGGAATGAGCTAATGCAGCCCTAAAACAGATGCATTGAAAGGGGGCCTTTAACCCCCTCCCAGAAGCACTGCTTTTGCCCAGAACATATAAATGATTAATGGTTCTTGTTGCTCTTCTAAAATGTTAATTTGTTGTTAGTGGCTCTGACTTCATCGGTAGGAGCATACTCTTAACTCATACTTCTCGTGGAGGTGAAGACGAGAAGCTGCATTTTTGTGCTCATCTCATAGGCATTGCAATGTGCCCTATCAAGAGGGGGGCTTGTACTTCTAAACTAATTCTGCATCTCTGGTGGCCCCCATTTCTCAGATTTCAGGAGAAGACTTGAAAGCTTACAAAGCTATTGAAATCCTGCAGCAGTGGTCCATTTACATCGGGTGGGTGGGTTGGGGAGAGGATTGGCATTGAATAAATGTAACAAGAGCCATTCAGAACTCATTCCCAGGCTATTCCTTCTCAATGTGAACAAACTTTTTGAAAATGTCCATAACTGTGCATTTCATCCTGGTGTTTTCTCCTGCTAACCTTGTTTCCCCATATAAACTAACACAACTTTCAGTTTTTATGGAACTCTGGCAGGAATGCAGTTACTGTCATTCATTTTCAGTGAAGCTGGTTTTTTTTTAAGGTTGCAAGTTGGAACTATGGAATTCACTTCCAGCAGATTTAGTGATAGCCATGAATTTGGATGGCTTTAGAAGGGGCTTGGAACAAGGGCATGGAGACAAAGACCATGAATGGCCACTAGTCCCGATGGCCGTATGTTGCCTGCAGTATCAGAGGCAGTCCACTTCTGTTCACCAGTCGCTGAGGATCATAGATGGGAGGGTGCTATTACACTCATGGCCTGTTCATGGGATGCTGTGAGCAACTGGTTGGCCACTGTGGGAACAGAATGCTGCGTGAGGTGGACCCCTGCACTTATTCAACATGGCTTTTCTTATGGAAACCTTGAGATTAGGAATCCTTTCCTTCCTGCTCCTCCCACTCACATACATATTTCCTGACCCCTTGGTGGACCTCTTCCATCTGCCAGAGAGCTGCGTGACAGGCAAAGACTCAGCACCGCAAGACTCTTCCAACGGTGGCTTCCCTGTAAATATGGATTTACTTCATACCTCTTGAATTTCTGTATGGGTATGAAAGCTGGCCAGTGAAGAAAGCTGACCAGAAGGGAACAGATATGTCTGAAACATGGTGCTGGAGAAGAGCTTTGAGAATTCTCTGGATTAACTGAGAGATGTACAAATGGCTCCTGGATCAAATCAAGCCTTCCTTGGAATGGACAAGGAATGACAAAACTGAGGCTGTCATACTTTGGCCACATCATGAGAAGGCAGAACTCCCTGGAGAAGACAATCGTGCTAGGGAAAATCGGGGGAAGAAGAAAAGGAGGACCAAATATGACACGGACTGACTCTATAAAGTAAGCCACAGCCCTGAATTTACAAAAGTAGAACAGGGCTCTCGTGGACTGGACATTTTGGATTGGACATTCAGAGGGTTGCCATAAGTTGGAGACAACTTGGCGGCACATTTCTACAATGGGCTGTGAGAGGCAAGCAAGCCATTCTGGAGAAAAAGCCTGGCAACCTTATTAGTATTTTGATGAGCCTTGCAATCCCTAAATAGGACAAGTGCCCTGCCCCTCATTCCATGTACAGAAGCCAACGGAGCTGAAGTTGAGCACGCTCTGTCCTCAGACAAGAGAAAATGGCCAGGAGCTCAGGCGAATGGCCGCTGCACAAATGCCCCCAGCCACCGTTTCAGGCCCCTGCCTTGCTTTGCCCAATGGTAGGGCCGGCTCTTAGGCTGGAGTCTTGGGCTTTGCCACAGAAGGCATTCACTGTGCATTTGTGATTCCTTGGTCACAGTTGTTTACAGATTCATTAAACAATGTTGAGATCTTCCAAATTTGTTTCTGGATTTTTCAGGGCACTCCCTCGATCCACTTGATCTCTAGGACACAGAAATTCCTTTAATAATTTCTCTTTTAGCATAAGAAGAGGGGAAATGAGTTATTAAACAACAAGGAGGAAAACAGTTCTCTGTCTTCTGAAGTACTGATGCTATTCTGAAGGTTGTGCAGCAGAAAAGCAGGAAAAGATCTCTTTGCATAGAGCTCAGATCATAATGCTGCCGCAAAACTGAAAGTAATGATTAACAGCACAATAAATGTCTCTTATAAGAAAATCCTTTACAAGCCTGGCTTACATGTGGCTTACATGCCTTCCCCCATTTTTGCTTTCCTTCTGACACACCTTTTGATTATATTATCATTATCACATTGCCTTTATATCCCACCTTTTTTCCTCTTGTGAGGAACTCAAGGCACCTCACATAGCTCCATTTTATCCTCACAACAACCCTGCGAGGTAGCTTAGGCTAAATATCCGTGACTGGCCCAAAGTCACCCAGTGAGCTTTATGGCGGAGTGGGCACTTAGCTTTCAGCTGCAACCAGCAACATAGGAAGGACTCACCTTAATTTTGTTGCCATTCCTCTCTCTTCCCTCACGAGCTTTCTCTCATCTTTCCCCAACTCTCCTTTGCATCTGACTTCTCCTTCTTGTCCTGTCACCACGTGTCTCCCTTCCTTCCTCACTCTCCAAACAAAAGCCCTTGTTACCTCCTTCCCCACCAAGTAAAGAGAAATTCCAGGATCACTTCATTGCAAGCAGGACAACAGCTCCTAAAAGGACAGCTAAACATGAACACGTTTTCCCCTCAGCAGGCCCAAGAGAGGAAGTGGTTGGCTTCTACTAAAATGAAAGGGAAGCCCTCTCCATTGCGCCAGACTCCGGAAGTCTTTGGAATGTCCCCATGGCTTATTCATGTTGGGAGATGGTTTATGCTGCACGTTTCATGCCTCTCCTCCTCCATCAATGGGACAAATGTTGTTTTTTTTCTTCCCCAAAGAGTTGGAAGACCCAACATTTCCAAACTGCACAAGCAACCTCTGACAGTTACTTATGACAGCAATTTCAGGACTGTCAACAAAACTTGAGCGCTCTGGGAAATTCACTCCGGAATCCAAAAGTTATGACATTGCATGGATAGTTTCCTTGTAAAGGGGCTGCAGGGGCTGCAGGTGTTTAATTGAAGTCTATCTGAACTATTTGGTAGCTTATACATGCAAAAATGAATGAATGAATGAATGAATGAATGAATGAATGAATGAATGAAGTGCTCCTTTTGAATTACATTTTCTGGAAGAGGTAAGGATTGTTTAACCAGTTCAATTGAACATCAGTTCTCAGGCTGATGTGTTGGACTATAACTCTTATCCACCCTAACCAGGCTGAGGAAAGCTGGTGTGGCTTCGCCCTGGGAATGTGCCACTTGAGACCAGCCTGAGATGTGAGAATCCCCAGGCAAAGCACTAACTGATGCCCCCGCTCCATCAGCTGCCACACACTCTCACACACATCAGTGGGCTTTACCACTGGCAGGGAGTTTGGTGCGGGAGCCACAGTCTGCAACCAGTAAGGTATTTCCCAGGATGCTGGGCACGGTGGGAGCTTTTAAATAGGAAATCGCATCTGAACCAACTTTCCTCACCAGATCAGCCAGCAGCCATGAGAATTGGCAGACAGGTGGACCAGGGCAGGCATCAGCACCAGGGGCCCCAGCACCTATTCGAAGGTGCCAGAAGCTGGCACTAGTCACACAGCAACTTGGGGTGGTGGATGTCCTGAGAATGTCCTGGCTGAAGTTACTGCAAATGTTTTCCATAGTCCCAAGCTTATTTTGGGGGTGGGAGGGGTGGGGGGGATGACATTTTACTGCATTTTACTAGGGGATAGCTTTGCCATGATCCAGGTGGGCTTTTATTTTCTTTTCATGCTGCCAATGAGATGCACGCATTCCTCGTGCTTCTCAGTTCTAAGGAACATGTTGGGCTTCAGAGCTATAGAAAATAACTCCAGCCCCATTCCTTCCTACAGGTTGCGAGCTGTCTTCTTGCAGATCCCGTTTTGTTTCTGTCTTATTTATCAGTCAGTGGGGGAACATGTTTAAGAGGCTAGCCAAGCAGCTTATTCAAGAACTGGACTCGGACCAGAAGCTGATTCCAATGACTAGCCTAAGGCACAGTGAAAGCTTCCAGCCTCTCTCTCTGGTGACGAAAGAGCAATCCAAGTTGCCTTGGCGTACCCCGAGGTATTCTCCAACCTCCTTCAAGCTGGCAGATGTACTCCAGGATGGAGCAGCAATGGAAATAGGTATGTAGTTCAGATTATTTCATAGACATCCAGTTTCTCCAGCAATGCAGGAGCCCTGTGGCCAAATGAGATTCCACATTGTCCCAGGTCTATCAAAGGAGAAAGGAGAACTTTTCCTTTTCAACAGCTATTAGGGGCAAGCCAGGAATGATATCCAGAAAGAAAGCGAAGGGCTTCTCTACATGAAGTGTAACCTGGCACTTTACTGAGTCTTTTCCCCCCTGTTTCTTTGTAAAGGAAGAATGTGGTTTTACATATCCCAGGGATTTTTCACTCTGCTTTTCTATATGTTCCTTTATGCAGAATATAACCTATTATTACTACTACTACTACTACTACTACTATTATTGTTGTTGTTGAGCAATAAGAGGGAGGTATAGACCCTTTATTATTCGCAGAGAATCCTTTCCCCCCAGGAAATAAAAAATAAAAGAGGAAATGTAGACATGGATGCAGTTTAATAATAAACAAAAGTGGTTTGGCCTTGTGTAGAAATCCTTGAAGAAAGAGTTAGCATGCAAATATGGCTTTATAATTAACAACAGTATTTTATTCATGTTATACATGCTTATTCTGGAAACTGCTCAGACAGCCCTATGGGCTGTGGGACAGTATACAAATATAATAAATACATAATAAATAAATGAGGTGGCGCTGTTCTATAGAGCAGATTTGAGAAAATACAGGAGGCCTTTGTAGCAATGAAGACCACCATCCAGGGACATACCAGACTTTTCTCAGTCAAAACAAAAATAAAGCCACTACATTGTCTGAAAAACTTGGGAGAAGCTCTGGAGGGTTCTAAATGCACAATCCATGCCTTATGTAGAGAAGCCCCATAAGCCAGACCAACTGTTTCTGCCATGAGTAGGCAAGGGAAGGACAGAGCTGGCCTTGCAAGTAGGCAAAGGAAGGCAGGTGCCTTGGGTAGTTGATTGTGAGAGTCATGAAAAGGCAGCAAATTTATCATCGTCACCAGCATCCTCATCAAGAACCAGACTGCTTTCCTACTTACTGCTAGGGTGGGTTATGCAACCATGTCTTTGGGCTTTTCTGGTCTCAGGTGAGATACCTCGGCTGGCTCTGGGTCTGACGCATTAGCATCAGGAGAAAATGGATGGCTGGCTGGATCTGGGAAGGAAGTCAGACCAGGCAGAGGTCAATTTGGGCATGAATGAAGAGTCCTGTAGGGACTAAGAAGAGCTCTGTATGGACCAAGAAAGGGGCTTCTGGTGGTCAATCAGACCTTGAGTGGCATGAAGAGAGTGAGCACTGAGAATCTTTCATATTGGCATAATATTAGACCCACAGCCACCTAACAAAATTGGCATCGGAAATTCAGGGGGAAAGTCCAGCAGAATAGAATTAAGAGGTTTGAATATTTTGACCAAGCTATAGATTGGTTGCTTTGGCCATGCTGTGGTTTCTTAGATCCAGTACAAATTGAGGATTCCATTCCTGGTTTGCGGACAACTCGTTTGTAAGAACCATATTTTGCCTGATTCAGAAATCATGATAATTGGGCTTATCTTGCACCAAGGAGGAAGAATCAAAGTGCAGAGGAAAGATTGCATAAACCTGAGGTCCCAGTAGGTTTGGTCATGATGTCTGGACTAGTCCAATGTGCTTTGAGCATTAGCCAGCTTGGAGTGGTGGCAAGAGTGATGGACTGGGGACCCATGAGCTCCAGGTTCAAGCCTGCCCTTGGCCATGGAGCTCACTGGAACCAGTCATGGACTCTCAGCCTAACCAGAGAGGCTGCCTATGCAAGCTGCCTTTGAGGAAGAAAAAAGCTGAGATATACAGATAATGTAACAACAACAATAATAATGATTTTTCTTTTGCTGTGAATTGTTCCAGAGCTGAAACACTCAGAACCACTCCTGTTTTCCACAAATACAAGCCACAAATCTGGAGCGAGCATGGCCCTTACAGTAAAGTCTACAGAAGTGGACATTGGTGGCTTGGCTGGTGGTTGCTTGTCTGCCTCTCCGTTATATGTGAAGAAGACCTACGTGGACACAAGAGACCTGTGGTGAGCATGGCTTTGCTGCAAAGAGAAGGAAGGACGGCAGCTAGTCAGGCTGGCTGGATCTTTTGCATAACTTAAAGGCAACGTGGTGTTTCCTTTGATTTATGCAAATGTATGTATCTTGGTGTTTCCTAGTCCCACGTCTACCATACCACACGGCAAAAGGAGGCAGCAGATTTTGGGTGCTATTCAAAGCTGGAGCGTGGGATGGGCCAACTGTTTTTTACTGAGATGGTGTCATATACAAGTTCTGTTTGCAAGTTGCAGGGAAATGAACAGGAGCTCCGGAAGGCTCATAAGGCTCCCATTCATATCACTGGAGTGTGTACAGGAGAACACCCTGGTTCATAGTCCCCATTGTCCATTAATGGGAGAGGACCGTGCCATTTCATCCACCAACGTATCTTCTGCTGTGTCCTGAAGGGGAAACTTGGACCAGGTGCACATATTGCCTTTAAGGGACGTTTGCCCACCATTATTGCACCAGGTTCCCTCCAGGCGGAGGGCACAGGGAGAGCCAGGGGCATGAGCCAGCAAAGCTGGCTCAAGCCTTCTTGCTGTCCAGAAGGCTTGAGCCACAGCTCCCTCCCGTCACAACATCCCACGCCTAAGCTTGCTCAAGTCATTTTGACACCTGTGGCAGAAAATCCCAAGCACTTCTCCCCCTTCCTAACAGTAAAAAGTTTGCAATTATTGCTAGTAAGATAACTAAGAATTTGCTGCCTTCTCAGGACACCCACAATCAGCTGCCTGAAGCAGCCGCTTCGCTCTGTCTTGTGGTACAGCTGGTCCTGTCAATAAGAGCCTGCTGCTTCTTCAGAGGGCAGCCGACTGTCGAGGTCTGCTTGGTCGTCCTAGCTCCCATTGGGGCAGCCTTTGCCTGGCGAGCCTTCCAGAAGCTGCAAACGAATATCAGATGTTCCCTTGGGGAAAGCATTCCTCCACTTCCAACAGTGTCCACTAGAGGATAGACAAAGCCCAGAAAAGCGAAGCAGGCCTCCTCCAGACTAGTCTGTGTTCTGCCTGCTGCCTCACCTTTTGCTCGCCGGCTCTCATCAAAGGAGGGAAACTGAGACATCTGCCTCTCCCAACTCCAGCTTTCCGGCTCCCAGCTTTCCTCCTTGCCTGCGTGGCTTCTGAAGGCTCACCATCACCGTCTGCTTTCAGTTGCTAGGAGGGGAGCAGCAGCAGCAGCAGCAGCGATGGGGTGCTGGAGGAGGGAGCCGTGTGTGCCCCACAGTCACCCACTCCCCTCAGCTAGTCTGCTGCCCTCAGGGGGAGTGGAGGAAGCTGCCTTGTCACCCATGTTGAAGTGCGATCAGCTTCTGTATGTGGAATGGGTGGGTAGGTGGGCATAGCTCCACCTTTGCCTCATGGGTCCACCAGCCTGGGAGGACCCTCTGCCCCTTGGGACCTTTCGTGGTGCGTGCCTGAGTGGCCTAGCACAGGGAGCACTGGAGCACAGACCCTGGACTTCCCAGGGAGAGCTTCAGCAGCTCTCCTGGGTCAAGGGCCAAACTAGCCTGTTGCCCTTCAGACGTTCTCCAGGGGCCGTAGGACTGCAGCCGTGTGACACTCCTCTGTATCGTTTTTAGGACGAATGAGATGCCCCTCAGCATTCCTCCACATGTCAGCCCTAAGCTCCCTTTGTATGTCGTGACTGAAGTTTTTAAGATAACGAAGTCGCTTCTGATCGAAGAGACTGTCCAGCTAGGAGGCAAAGGACAGGTTTCTGTCTCATCGATATTTAAGATAAAGGTTTGTTTATGGCCTTTGGCTTGGCCCCTTTTCTCCTCTCTCTCCTCCTCTTGCTCAAAAGGATAATGAATTAATCAGCTAACTAAAGTGGCATATTTATGCCATGCCAGAACCTTTGCAGAGCTGTTCCCTTGGCAGGCTTGTTCCATGGGCTACTCGTGGCACATGGCAGGGGACAGCCTCTGCCTGATCCTTGGGCCGGGGCAAGGCACCCTTTGCTCTGCAGCTAGAGGGAAACCAACTTTGGAGCACAACCATTGAGATGATGCATTGAGGGTTGCTCTCCCAGTGATTGTACACACCAGGCTCTGAGACTTACAAGCATCTTATGCAAGGCAGGAGGAGTGGTGGGAGCGATTCTCGTGTTCCTGTCCTCCCTCCTAGCAGTTTTGGCTAGACAGGCTTTTTGGAAAGGGATAGCTCATACCCTGCCACTTTGCTCTCCTCCCTCTCTGCCCACAAAACTCCACATTTCGCCCACTTTCGGGCTGAGCTCCTGACCTCTGCAGCCAGAAAGAACCTTGCCAGGTGCAGCAGGCAGATGTGGTCAGTTCTCCAATTCCCTTCTCTGGAACTCAGCCTGGAACATAAACTTGGAACATAGAGAGGGGGATCTGAGCTATCCTGTGGCAACCCTAGAATTGTTCCCCTAAGTGAGGAATAGCACAGTGGAGCATCCCTGCCAGTTACAAAGGAAGGAGAAATAAGCTAAAGCAAAGACATGGGGATTTTTAAAGCAGAGCTTCAACGGTTGGGTGGTATGTAAATGTCACAGTATGCAGCAGAAAGTGGATGTGCAGGAAGGAGGCATTTTGGAAAGGCAGGTGCTGCAAAAAGCAATTACATCCAACCAACAAACTGCACAAATGAACAGCCTGTTTACTGCAAAGTAAGCATGATAAAGGCAGAAGGAAGAGGAGCAGGGCTGACTCTTCAGCAGGAAGAGGGCACAACGAACTGCTCAGTGGGAAGTGGGGTCCGTTTGGTTGCTTTGGAGATTAGGAGCGATGTATTTGGGGAAGATCTAGCAAGATTTAAGACTGCCCACTCCTGGAGGGCAGAACCTTTTACAGTCTCTGCTCCTATCTGCAGGGCCTGAACATGAGAGTGAGAAAGAAGTCCATGCTGGTTCCTGAAGGCACCGTGATTGCTTATGCAGTTGAGAAGCTGCCGACCGAAGAGAAAGACCAGGGTGAGTGAAAACAGTTGTGTGTGCACATTGGAATGGTTGCAGCTTTCACAAGGGATGCAGGAATTCCTAGGGGACAGTTCCAAGCACCCAGAGATTGGACACAGATGCTATAGTTGAAAACAGAAACGTGATTAAGCTTCTCTCCCTAATGTCTGGGACAGTTTCTCTGTGTGAAGAGTTTAAGCTGGCAGCTTATTGAGGCTTCTTCCATTTTCATTTCAGGAGAAAAGTGTCATTTCCACCTGTTTTTCCCTAAAGTTTGTCTTTCTTTGCCTTTCTATATAGTCCATTAACCAACCGCAAAATGGTGCTGCAGAATAGTGAATTTATACAAGGCTTTCAATTTTTTCCAGCTTGTTCTGGTTTGAATTCTAATGCTACACTTTTCTTGCTCTAAAATAAAAGAGCAGCAAAAATAGCTGGAAAGCATGACAGCGCTTCTGTGGGGTACCAGTATCCTAAAGGTCCCACAAGTCTCCATGAGTGAGAGATCATGACTGCATAATAAATGCCTTCTGTAAGAAAGCCCTAAACCTCTCCCAACTGATACAAAGAACTTTCTTTGTCTGTGTGGTCTTTGCTGGTCAAACATCGACGGCATTTGATTTAAGCCAGGACTTATCACCAGTAGCTACTTGGGAATGCTAGTCTCCAACCCTGGGTCATGCAATGCCATCAAAAGCAGAATGTCTGTGTACATATTTTGCCATCCTTTGTGTGCATTTGACATCCGAGGAAAGATCTTCAGGCAGACTTAAGCACCAATACTTCACTTTTTAAAAATATTACACTCTGACTTTGCACTGGGGTGCATTTAGCAGCAAGAAACATTTGAGGCTTATGGACCCTCCAAACAATCCCTTAAGGCACCCTTCCCAACCTTGTGACTTCCAGGCATGTTTAGACTGCAGCACCCAGAATTCCCAGTCAATGGCTTTGCTGGATGGGAATTCTGGGAGATGTAGTCCAAAAGCCTCTGAAGACCACCAGGTTGGGGCAGGCTGCCTTGAGGAAACTAGCTCAAGACCAGCTTACATATTGGGGTGGGGCATAGTCTGTATTACTTCAAAATGTAGTAAGCCAGTCCTGCCATGTTCAGAGCCCTCCTGTTCCTTCTGCTGCGTGGAACCCTGAACATCTGCCCCAAAGTCCTGCTGTGATGATTAGCCCCAGTCAAAGGATCTCAACTGGCAGGGCTTCAAAAAATATGGTGATCCACCAGGCAGAACAGGTGGAATGACTGCCTGACTTGATACATGGAGGGTATTTTCAGTTACTCTGTATGCCCACTAGTGCGTAACAATGCACTAGTTGCTGCATTTTCTCCAGCATTTTATTTCTAAGCATTCAAAGCATTTATTTGCCTATTTCCCACCACAAGGCTTTCCTGGAAGGTGAGGGCACAAAATGGAATGATCATAGGCTTCTCTATGCGATCCATTGTCTTCCCTCACTCATGGACGTTTATGGGTCCTTTTCACAAGAGAGCCTTTCTCCAGGGCCTCTGGTGCTTTTCTGCCATTTTCACAGCTTTTTTTTAGAGCGAGCAAAGTCAGCTATTAAAATTCAAATGAGAACACAAGCCTCTTGTAGAACTACAGTTCTTCAATACTGCAGACACTTGTAGAAAGGAAAGGAAAGGAAAGGAAAGGAAAGGAAAGGAAAGGAAAGGAAAGGAAAACCTTGAAAAAGATGTGTTTTTCCTCCTGCAATGAAAACTAGAAAAGACACTTCAGAGAACAATGAGTTAAATCCCTCCTGTAGATAATCCCTCACTCCAAACAAAACCCGACAATCTGAAAGCAATCACCTGAAGTGCATGAAGTGGGCGGGGATGGATCGGTGACATGAGAAAACCACCCAAACTGTATGTGGAACTGTGCCACACAGTGACCTCTGCAGCCCCTTGGCTGCAGCTAAGTGCTCCAAACCCCAGTTACCCCAGCCCTAAGTCCTCTTCTCTGTTTAAAAGACATGCAGTCCCAGCTTTCTTTCCTCTTTGCTTCTTGTTTCCTCTTCAGCTTTTCTCTGCCCAAGCTTTGAAAGAAAACTGGATCCTCTGCTCAGTTATGATGGCAGGATTAACATTATAGCTTGTTCTAATTTGCACAGAATATACACAGAAAACATAGTACTCGATAGGATAATGAAAGGCAAAAAGAAAAAAAGACAGGACTTTGCCCTGAGATGATGATGGTGGTGGTGGTGATGGTGGTGGCAATGATGATGATGGTTATTATTATTGCATTTGATTTATACTTTTCATTTTTTGCTCTGGCAAGGAGCACAAGGCAGAATTCATTATCCTCCTCTCTGTTTTATCCTCACAACAGCCCTGTACGGTAGATGGGGTTGAGAGTCAGCAACTGGCCCCAAAGCACTAAGCCAACTTCACTGCTAAATGGGAACTAGAACCCTGCTCTCTCAAGTCCCAGTCTGACCATTACACTACACTGGTTCTTAAAATCCAAATTTCAACAACAGGAGAGACACCAAGGAGGTGGGCAGAAGGGAAGGGTGAAGGTGTCAAGGTATCATGGGTGACATTACTTCCAACAAGGATAAAAGTGTTGAGCTGCTGCAGTAATAACAGCAGGAAGCCTTGTGGCACCCCAAAGACTAATAGCTGTATTTCGGCATTAGCTTTCATGTGCTGAGGCCTGTATTTCAAGATCTGGGGAAGTTGGTTCTAGACTGTGAGACTGTCTTAGGATGCAGCCTATGCTCCGTGGCCTCGATAGACACACATCTCTGAAACTGGAGGCTTACATGTGCTCCATTCCTGGAACAAGAGACAGCAGTGACTGTTTCTTCCATTCTTCATGGGTGTGCCATCTAGACAGCCATTTGCAGACATCTAGATAACGTGCCAGGTGGGGAGGGAAAGAGGCTGGACCACTGATGGGAACCAGCAGGCATCTGCCTCCCCCCGCTTCCTGCTCCACAGTCCATCTTCCCACCCCCAAGCCCCTGTTGCAGCCTTGCAGTTCTTTCCACACTGGCTGTGAATGGGGGGAAATGGTGCAGGCTCAGCATTCAAAGTCCTAGCTCTGAGGTTGCAGGACCTCAGAACTTAAGCTCCAAAGAATTGCATGATTTTGAGTGATGCTGGGAGGCCATAGACTTGCATGCTTGGTTTTTCAGGATGCTTCAGACAAGTTAGTGGGCTTCAGACATGGAGACTTGACAAGAGCTATAATGGGTGCCTTTAACACCAAGAACTGGTGTTAACCTCACAATATTTCCCTGGTCTTTCATAAGTGCACAAAAGAGCAAATTCTGCTGTCCAGTATGTGTGGGTTGGTCTTGTCAATTTTCTGATGCATTTCAGCTTTTAATGAGAACACCCAAGTGGACTAAGTAACGTACAAGGACACTTTCAAGGCGAGACTATTTATAAGCTAATTTGCACTGTACGTGAGCTCTCCTTGTCAGCTTCCTTGTATGCTGCTTACTCCACTTTGGTGCTCCCTTTGACAGCTGGAACATCGAAGAAAATTGACAGGGCACAACTACATATACCAGAGAGCCAAATCTGTGCTCTTGAGTACTTGCAAATGACCGGAGGGGGATCATGAACCCATTTGTGCAAATTTCAGGAGCCGCTCAAGAAGAAACTTTAAAATCCTATTTGCCCAAATTATCATTTGTGTAAATGGCAGGATCCAGGAAAAAGGGAACAAAACTTTTTTGGAATCGGGAAAAAACTCTGCTACACTCCACTGCTGCTTACCAGAATGGAAACTCTGCAGAACCTTGTCAGGCCCCAGCGGAACGGAAGTCCCATCATTGCTCATCCCTAAGCATAGCAGCCACCACTTAGGTACTTTGGCCTCAGTGTTGTTAACCAACAATTTACTACTACCGTCATTGCTACTACTACTGTCTGCCTCTGTCAAATTTCCAAATTTTGGGCAAGAATGGATCATAGGCTCTCCTCTGAAGATGGGTGCTTGCGTGGGGAAAACTCCATTTTTTAACAACTGCAATTCTGCCAAAATAAAGGGGTTTGTGGTAACTGCTGGGTACTAAGCATATGTGTTCCCCGCATTCTTTCAAACAGGGAACACCTGCTTCAGCTTGATCTCAAGCTAATGTTTCTTTTTCTCTTCTCCCTTTAGCACTTCAGGATGATCTGGGCTACTCAGTCACAGGCAAGTGAAGCTCTATTGGCACTCCTGATTTTATTCTTGGATAATGTCTCCCTCAGTCATACAAATCTTTCCCTGGGGGTGAAGTGCCAGTCCAGTGACAGGTCCCTCCTGTGTGACTGCTTGGATAATGCCTTAGGGCTGGGTATGTGTGTGGGGGTGATAGTGCTAGGAAGCATCACCCGGGTTTCTGGGGTGTGTAGATGAAAGAAAGATTGATTGCAAGATGTATTATCTTTATATCCCACCTTTCTCCCATTGTGGAACTCAGGGTTCCCCGGTGGTCTCCCCTCCAAGCTCAGGCCAGCCCCAGACCTGCTTAGCTTCAACATGGTGGATGCTTTACATGCCTTCAAACCGTACTCTGGGCTATTTTTATATACTATTTGTGAAATACTATTTGTGGATCTCCTGCATCATATTTAGTTTTGGCCTTCTGCAGCTCACTGCCACCCATATCACCGAGAGGCTTTGAGAAGGCCATTTATACTAGGGGCATATTGCCCTACTGGCATTCAGTCACAAGACAACATTTCGCACCTGCAATGCAGAACCTTCTACGCACTAAGCTCCCCATAGTTCAGCCTGTGTAATCCCAGGCAGTGATGAGCCCCAAGTAGAGGGCCTTGGCGCACACAGAGCTGCCACGCTCCCCTTGCCGTCTGTGGGCTTAGCCCAGCAAGCAGCTGCCCTCGCCCTTGCGGAGCACGTGCATGTCAATGCCAGGCTTTCACCAACGCTCCTTCCTTTGCATCTGAAGCTGGTTATCACAGAAAGTGTGATACGGCTTTCTGAAGCAAGCTGAATGACGGCAGAGGGATGGGTTGCAGGCACGCTGCAGCTGGACTGTACAGAGCACAGAGGGCGGCTTATTTGAATTCCTTCCACCCCAATTTAGACATGTTCAAGAGAAAAGAAAAACCCTTCCCTGCAAATGGAAAAGCTGGCTTGTCAAGGAGAAGGATGCTGCTTTCCTGTGTGGAGGGGAGGAAGGCAGATCCTTCTGCGGCCTCCACCCTCAGGCAGAAGAGATACTATTCTGCAAGCGATGTGTCGTGTACACTACTTCTTGCTGTCCCCTGTCCCCCCACAGCTCAACAAGCAGCGTGGGTGAGGCAAGGATGACCATGCGCTCTGTGTATTTTTTAAAGTGTGCTAGAAATGCTGGTGCTAATAACCTTTGCCAACAACCTTTAGCTGTCCAGCAAGTGAAAGATGCCATTCAAAAAGTCTATGATCCTCTGATGGACCTGAGCCAGGCCTTGAAGAGGCATCTTCTAGAACCCTTTGGTGTTGTCCTGCAGGACAGAGATGTTGTCTGCACTGTTCAGTTGGTGGTATGTCCCTTTTCTCAGCTGCTCAACACCTTGTACTTGAAGCTTTTTGATTGTCCCTGAGCCTCTGTTTCTCCACCTCCCCTTCCCCTTTTGTTCATTAGTGCCATCACCCCTTTAATTACTGGCTCTATACATGGAGATCTACACGTTTCTGGATCTACACATGCAATGGAATGAAGTGGGAGAATTCTAAGGTGGCACCATAGTGGACTCTGGGTAGGTTGAGGGGACAGAACCATTTTTGAATGCTCTCCATTAAAACTCTGTGAGTACATAAGAAGCCACATGAGAGTGAGAAAGACTACCTAGCCCAGGTCTCCCAAGTTCTGATAGGGTTTCTCCAGCACTTGCTATCTGATATGTCTTTTAAACTAGCAATGCCAGGAAACAAATTTGGGACATTCTGCAAAGCAAATTCTAGATGATCTATCTCCCTCTTGTGCTGACTGGGTTTTTGATTTTTCAGAGTCATCTTTTTTTCTTTGTCTTTTAAACAAATGGAAGCATTCTTCTATTCAATCCCCCCACCCCTGCAAGAAGTGAAGGAATCACATTTTCTGCTAGCCTGGTACTCTACAAGTTCATTCTGTTGCATGTGCAGAATCAGCCTGAGTTTCCCTGAATCCAAGTTAATTGCATTTAGAATGCTTATTTCAGGAAGCCAATGCTGGCCAAAGCTGTATACCTCTTCCTATCTTCCTGTTTTCCTTCCTTCCTTCCTCTCTGCCCCAAGGCTCTGAACTTGCTCCAACATATATTTTCCCAGCTGAATCTAGCCGTGGTGTTTATGTTCCTAGAAACCCTTGAGTGATTATTAGCAGAAACATTATCTAAGAATATTAATCAAAATAATTAAAAACATAGGCGCTGAGGGCTGCGCTATGTATGGCAGGTATCAATTTTGCCCTATTGATTGACTGGTCTAATTTTCTTCCCATCAGCTGGAGCTTTCCATGGCAGGCGAAAGTATTGATAGGTCCATGTTGGAGTCACTGGATGAGGAATTCCAGCCTCTAGTGGAGATGCTGCTGTCCCTTTTAGGGATTTTCCAGGTCACTGGGAGAGAAGAACACCAAGCTCTTTGGGGATCAATGTATTTCCTTTGCTCTTCTTTAGAAGGTAAGGAAAGCCCTATCAGTTGTGTACAAGACATAACAACTGTGAGAGAAGAGTCAAGGGAGGCCTAAAAACTCAGGGTAAACAGCTGGGGAATGGAGGCATGGCAGAATTCCAGCCACAAAGCAAGTGCAGGACCAGAGCAGAAAGTGTAGTCGTGGCTGATCCAATCACAGAGGCCAATGGGGCAGCTGGCTGGATGTCCACAGCTGGATTGATGAGGGATTGCTTGGTTACCACTTTCTAACACCTAAATGCATCTTCGCTTGGAAATACCTGTGAATGAGGTAATCATTAAACCATCATTTAGGTGGACCTTCTGGGACATAACATGCCTGATAGTATTTTAGCTCATGCATTGTCAGTACAAAGTAACATAGTATTATTCCTATTTTGCAGATGGGAGAAACTGAGGCAGAAAAAGCAATAAGGCCCAATTAGTGCACTGTACTAAGGCCAGTGATGACAGAACATGCTGGAGGGCACAGTGAGTCATGCGCTTCCCCAGTGTGAGCTCATATATAAACCACTCGCATGCAAGTTATCCTCCCACCAAACGGTGTGTGTGTCATGGAGGGGTGGGGGTTGCATGCACTGGGCTGCCACATAATCGGAAGCTCACACAGAAGGCCAAGTTCACACCTGCGTGTTGGAAGGCCTTGTGGTGTTTCTCCAGCATGGATGTTGTTCTGTTTAGAGTTCTGCCTCCAGCTGAATATATGAACTTGAGCAGCAGCTCCAACAACTGATCTGGGCATTCACTGGAACATTCGTTTTCCCAGGTTCCAAGTGCAATGAAGGTTCTATCCATGTTGTCTTTGAAGAAAACCACACTGGATGGATCACATTGCCAGATGTCCCTGAGAGCTGGTCTATGCAAGGCTTTCATTGTGCTCTTAGAGTTGTTTCTAAGTGCTTTATGTGATATCCTGATCCATCAGGTTCACTTCTATTTTTTAAGAACATTCTTTTGGGTTTTTGGAGCAGGAAAAAATAAGCTATTATTTGAGATAATGGAAGACCTGTCATTTTCCTATGTGTGTTTTTGAATGGCTCTGCACAGCTTCACCTAAAGATTATGGAGCAGGAAATAAGCTCTTTGTGCAGAGCTTGGACCACAGGGATCTGACAATTGACAGCCTTGTGTAAAAAAGCTCTGATCACTCCAGGTATGCTATCAGTTGACTAAATGTCTCTTTTCTTGGGAATTGTGTTTACAGAACTGGACTACAAGATGCTGCCCCTGTTGGAGGCAATCTTAGAGAAGAAAGACATAGCCAAACAGTTAGAAATGGTAAGTCCCTTACAGCATCCTGTCTTCTGTATGAGTAGAAAGCATTCATTATAGCAGAATGCTTGTTGCTTATGGGCAGAATCCTGGGGCCTCCCAATAAGATTCAGGTGGTCGTAGGATTTTTCAGAGTCCCAGCATGAAACTCCCCACTCTTGATGGCCTTGGGCCAACCACATTCTCTTAGTTTAACCAACCTCATCAGGCTGTGGTGAGGATAAAAGATTGACCAAGGGACATACTCGAGGTGTGCCTCCATGAGTTCCTTCAAGGAAAGCTGGGATAGAAATGTAAGAAGTCAAGAAAAGAAACCCAGAGAGCACTGCCCCCAAAATGTCTCAGATCATTCAGATCCTTCCCAGAAGACATTTTCAGCATTGCCCCTAAGCTGAGGAATGGTTTGCCAGGAGAGATGGATCTGATTTCCCAAATTTCCAGCTTGAAGAGGGAGTTAAAAATGCATCTCTTCCGACAGGCTTTCCTGGATTAGTTCTCATGTTGGTTTTATTTAATATGTCTTAGTCAATGTTATTCACTGGGAACGGAGCAGCATATATGTGTTAGAAGCCTCTAAGTGGAGGGTGGGAGTGCTGGAATTGTGTGTGTGCTCTGGCAAGGAGAAGCAGTGGCCAGAGAAAGGGTTAACCACCCACCCACCGCTTTCCCTATTTCAAGGCAACCCATAAAAATTCTTTTCCATCATTATATGAGTCAGTCCCCACTGTAAAGGCTGCTTCCTTAGGCAATCCATGGAAATTCAGCATCTCTAGGGCCCTGGGATTGTGAATACCCAGCCTTAGCTAGAATTGTTCATATGCCAAAGAAAATGGATGGTATGTGTAAAGCCTCTCCCTCCCTCCTATTTTCATTTTTTATATCAAAAGATGAATGGCATTTTGGAGTGGATTCTTTCTGGTGATGAAGGTAGCCATTTCACTATTCCATCTGATTCCCGAACGGATGAAGAAGATGATCTAACCAAAGAGCTTCTGCAAACTTGTGGACTGGATTTAGAAACTGGGAAAGACTCCATCACTTGCCTCTGGAACAAGGATGCATTTTCAGGACTGGCTGCTCTGTATTCCAGCTTGTACGCCCTGTGGGTTCTAAGTGGATGAAGATAAAACAGACTCCAAACAGATGACACTTTTTCCTGTTGCAAGGTGTCTGCTGGCACATGGACTAGGTTGTCATGACCTGCACAGTGCTTTCACCTTTTTAAGCCCATTCAGTCGCTTAGAGGCTGATGCTTCCTGCTTCCCCATTGGTGGAACAGAACTTGGGAAGTAGGAAGTGGTTTGCATCACATGGTGGATACTTAGTTGCTTAGGAGGTGCTTCCCATCTTGGTTGCCTCCTAGTTTTTGTAGTTTCTTCTCCTCTGCAACTTCTTTGTGAATTGGCATTCATGTAACCCAGATGCCTGGCCTAGATTCCAAGACAGATGATAAAATCTTAACTGTTCTGGAATCTCCACTGCTCTAGGCTGTTTAGTTGTATATAAATATTGTAAATACATAAATAAAATAATCATATGCAAAATCCTTGAAAACATGTTTGGATAAAGTTCTTCTTCTTGGCCAACATTAGAAGGAGGGATGTTCATCCATGGGCCAAGTGTAAATGGAGGCTACCTCAATGGGGAATTCTGCTTAAACGTGCACAGCACAACTTGGCTGCCAGATGTCCTGGACTTGTAAGAATGGATGTAAAAAAGAAGTAATCATGATGGTTCACTAAAGTGAAAAAGGACTCATTTTCCTGCACTCTGGTGCAGAAATAGTCAAGACTTTGGCTGCTCTAGTCTGTATTGTGTAATGTTCCTTTTCAAGAGAATTGTTTTAAGAATACAGCTATTCGTACCCCTCAAACACGCAAAGCTAAGGATAGCTGAAATCCTCTATTATTGAGAGTATCAGCAGCTTTACCTGGCACTGTCAAGTTCCCCCTGATCCCCAGAGACCCTTCCTTCATTCTGATAAAATTGGTGCCTCAAGGAAAGATCTTGCTGGACCCGGCACCTACTCTCCACCGTTCTTCCTCTTCAGAGCTGCTACATTTGGCATCTGACTGCTACTGCCTGCCCTTGGCACATCTGCCTGCTGGCTTCTGCTTTGGGAACCAGACTTGTGCCCTTCTGAAACCATACCCTCCGCAGGCAGATCCCAGTGTGCTCTCTTGGCTGTTCATTCACTTGCTTGCTCTCTCCCTTCCTTCCAACTTCAGAATTCTGATTGGTCCTATTATTGCTTAGGATGCTGACCCCCCAGCAAATTCTGATAGGTAATAGAGGAAGAATCCAGGTCCCAACAGAAGTCCATCCCTTCAGCACAATGTCCTGATAGCTGTAATGCTTCTAATTCATTGCCAACTCCTGTTTCTGGGCACCAGCTTTGCTTGTGGGAGTCACCACTCTTGCTCCATCAGCCAGTCCGCATCCTTTCTAATGGCCTCAGCTCAGCTCCTGCCCTCCAGTTGATTGTGTCACCAGATTGGCACACCTAGATATGCAGTGTACTCATCATTAACCACAGAAGGTGGCTTATTAATCACACTACTGTGCAGTATATGGTCTACATGAATTTTCCATGCAGAAAATGTTGGCAAGGAATATGAAAAATGAACCACAGGGCTGTCTTGAAAGCTGCCACAGACAAGGCACTTGCTTAAAGAAGTAATCAAACATCCTCTCCAGGAGGATATTTGATCAGGTGGCCGAGGAAGGTAGGTCTACCAAGTCAATGTGACAGGCATTCTCTGCCTTTTATCTCTGACAGTGTGCCTTGGCTGTACCCACCTGTGCTTCCCATTCAGTCTGTGGTCAACAATGGCAGTTCTTCTAATCCAGGTGGGACTGAATACAGCAAGAAAAGAGGCACCCCTCCCTCCTGCAGGACCACTGAGGGGAGGCAGCAAGCTGCTTCTGCAGACTAACTGACCTCTCTTTCTCACTATGATGCATCCACTGGGTTATGTGGCTGGTCTGCTTAGCTCTGTTTAAACTACACACATCTTGTCTGCAAAAACAGAGATCAGCTGAGGGTTTGGTTTTCTCCCTTCCTTCCATTATTTCTCTCCATTTCCACAAAGCATTTAACCATCCCAAACTGGAAGGAAGGAGGGTGGGTGTGAGTGGGATGTAGCATTTATTAGGTGTAGGTAAGACACTTATTAATGTATCTTTCCCACTCTGTAATCATTGCAAGTAAAATGCCTTCTTCTGAGAAGCTGCCAACTTTTGTCACATTAAGGGTGTTCTGAGGCAGAGGAGATCTATTTACCATATGCCAAGATTGCCTCCTTGTGGCTACTGAGAAGGAATTTCTTGGCAAAGAGGCTGAAGGAGACTTCCAGACTGTGGAGGACAACATGCCTCAGAAGAGGGAATTTGGAGACAGAAACTGTGTGCATGTAGCATATTAGTTGGGAAAGAAAGTAGGAATGAGCCAGGAGCTGCAGGTCTCAAACAGGGAACTGGGTAGCAACTCCTTCCTTCTTTACTCACTGAACTACCAGGACAGTTGGTCAGAAAACAGAACTGCAGACAATATGCTCAAGGTCCTTAGTAAAGCCCCTTTGGCCAGATATTCAGTTGGTCAGGAGGGGCCGTCCTTCCCCCTCTGGCTTTTATAGAAAGTTCATGGCCTGCTGTTGCTCTTCAGTCTGAGTGATGAGACTATCTAGGAAAGCCACACGACTGCTCCTAAGTACATGTAGGACCTCCTACAGCCCCTGTGCATTACAGGTTCTGTTGTTCTTCTAGTCCTGCCATACTGGATCCTGTAAAAATCATGCCACTGCCTGAATGATAGCATAAATGAGATGCAAAAAGGAGGTGTAATCTGCTCAACAGTTCATAAAAGATCTAGACTTCAAGGTTCAACCAGATCAGGGGATCCCAGACTTTTTTGGACAAGTGGGCAGAACTGGAATTCTGAAAGAGAGCCATGAGTGCATCACAAAATGAGAGCCAGGAAACGGCTTGTTTCTTAACAGAATATCTGCTATGGTAGTAAACTGGCAAGGGTAAGAGAAAAGGAATTCATCCAAGAGACTACGTGGAGGTGAGACCAGAGTTCCAAAGCACAAAACCATTCTTCTGAACCCACAGTTTCTGCTCCAGCATCTATTTCAGAAAAGAGGAACTAGTGAGACAAGCAACACGTCAAAAAACTGAGTATAAGTCAGAGGTAAGCCCCAAATGCCAAAGCACAGCTTTGCCTCCGCAAAGCCCTCATTTCAAAGTATGTGCACCAGTGATGTTCAGAGAGAATCACTCATTCCTCCTGCCCACACACATAGTCAGAAAAAAATTTACCCAGGCAAAAACCACACTCACTACACCAGTCAGCCCAACCTAGGCGAAACTCACACCACATACACACACACTTTTATTTTCTGAAAATGGCACTGAGGTCCATATGGCACCTGGGGGCAGTTTTAGAAGTAATGATTATGCTGGAGACTGGCACTTAACTCTGTAGTCTCCCACTTTAAAAAAATACATAACAATTCATGCATGGAGGCAAATTCTACCAGATGTTGGGAACAGATCCAAATGCATAGCACCTACATCTTACCTTTAGCATAAACTCTAGTTTGGTTCCAGGACTTTAGGTGAAAATGATGAAATAAAAGGATTTTATGATGAAAAAGAAAGGATTTTTTGCAGCTACTCCCCACATTTGTATTTTGATTTTATTCAGCAAGATTTTGCCCCGTAGTATTTAATCCGAATGCTTGTACATGTCTGGCAGACCACATTGTTGTTAGGACTGTAACTCCCAGGGTCGCAAGCCACTGCAAATCAAATGAGCAAATAGATGCTATGTTAGGTTGGAGACATTAAGCCATTCAAAGGCACACCTTTGATACTCCTGCAATAACTGTTGACACATGATATATATGGTGGAAAGGTGGAAACTCCAAAGGAAAGGTGGAAACTTCAAAGACTGTGGGCATGCATAATAGCTGTGACTACATGTGAAACAGACTCTTAAAAAGTAGATACTCCCTACTAAATTTGGAGAGAGGGTCCCCTCTTCACAGTCTCAACAGCAGACACACACAATTATGCCATTTTAAAGTATGGATGGCCAAATCTCTTTCCTGTGTCCCTTTCATGTGCTTTTTTCCACACTTCCATTTTATTTCTGCATTAAAGACCAAAGATTAAAGATCAATTTAAAAAAAATCCTCTCCAATTCATATTTTAATACATTCAAAGAATAATCCTGTGGTCAGAAGACACTATCTAGACAACCACAGGGCAATTCAGAGCCTCAACTTCGACCTCAAAGCTGATGCTCTAAATTCGGAGACTCCTCCGTTCACCTTCCCAACCAGCACTGACTATGGCTCCAACTTGGCTTCTGGCATTGGGATTCCTCAGCCCCTCCTCATGAAAAGGGGTAAAACACATAGGGTATGTTCACATATGACATTAAGCAATGCCATGTGATTACCTTGTGGCATAGTATTTCACCTTGTGTGGCTCTCCTCACCTTCATTGGATGTCTGTAATCCTCCAAGTTCAGACAGTTATGGCTAGCCACATTGGGTGGTGCCCTTAAATTGCTAAGAACTGCATCACAGCATATGGAGAAGTGTGGAATCTTGTGGACAGCTAAGTTCACACATCAGTGTGCAAGATACAGATCCAGTAGAATCTGCTAAGAATGAATTAGTAGAATTTGCTAAGAACAAACTGCTTAGTAGAATGAATTCCTCAAGCATCCCTATTTTTGAGTAACTGGCAGAATAGTCTGGTAGGGAAACCCTGCTGTGTCAAGCAAGTGAAGGTGTAAGTGCAAATCCAGCTAGGAATATGGGTCAGTCTGAATTTTTCTAATTTGATTAATAAAGAAGACTATGTAATAATAGCATTATGTACTAAGTTTGTACCTCATCATTGTTCCATAACTGAATAAGGACTAGCTTTCAAAAGGCTAATCTTATCTAATTGTCTTGTCTGATCCTTTACCTTCAGGAAACCCATTCTCTATTGACTTGTCTGCTGAATAATCCTGCATGCTTGGATACACATTTCTAAAATGTATTCTTGGATGCACACTTGAGACACTGACCAGATTATGTAGTATACTTCAGAGTGTTCCTGCACACTGTTTGCACACAGAACCCATCCAGCATCCTGATGGCAGGGTAAGACTGAAATGGCAGTTCCCTAAAAAAGCTGCCCTTATGCGAAGATTGTCTATTATTGCAGACCTTCTCAGTGAAGAATCCCAACCTTTTAAAGAACCCCAAGGTGTGCCAGAATCCAGATTGAAACCACTGTCCTGTACCATGTTATTGGTTGGTTCTTCAAAGTATTTCCATTGTGCAGTTATGAAAATCTTAGCAGTAATTAATATACTGCAAAGAAATTTTGAATTGCCAATTTGGTTGCTTAATTTTTCTCTCAAATTCTTCTGTCAGAGATGATAGGCCTGCATTGCTTGACTTAATAGACAGTCCAATAGCCTCCAGGTGTCCTGTGACTAGTCACTAATTCTCAGCCTCACCCACTTCACAGAATTGCAAGGATAAATAGGGAATGAGAAATCCATGCCTGCTGTCCTTGTTGCCCTGGAGAAGGGGATGGGTGGGGAAAATAAATAGATAAATGCATAGATACCACAGCAGTTTGCGCAGTCATTGTGGATGACATCATTTTTTCCAAACCCTGGGCGACAGCTGTCCAGACGAGTGACTTGGAAACTATGGTCTATGTAATGGATTACAGGGATGTTCTCATACTCATCTTTCAAGATGTACTGTTGCCTGCGGAAAAACTCTTCAATGAGCAATCGAGCCTAAAACACACAGACAATGAAGTCAGAAGAATGATGATATTTATGCTGATTTAATTCATCAAGGTTTTATACACGCACACATGCACTAATCCAAAGTATACATAAGATGTCCAAAAATGTTAATTACATGCTTTCTCACCCCTGCAGCCTATGACATCAGAAAAAGCATCTGTTGAAATCTACTTCTCATCTGGGTCCTGTTGCATCTGGTCACTTTAGGGCATTGGTAATGAAATATTTTGGCCCTACAGGTCTATTTAGGAAGGATCTTGAGGGCCACATTCTGGCAGTGGACGGGGATAAGAGTGCAAGGCCAAGAACAGGGTAAGTGGGACCAGACATTATACAAATCTGGCCATTTTCTTACCAAGCACACAAGTCACAGCTCAATTTTTTCCATGTCTATTCAGTACAGTGCATAAGCCCCAGGCATGCAAAGAACACCTCATCTCCAATAACTGCTTACTGAGGAGCCTTCATGCAACATGTAGGCATACAGAGTACAGCTCAATTCTAAAATGTAATAGTAGTAACATTTTAAATGCCCAGTAGGGTATTTAAAATTTAAATGACATTCAAGCATGGTTATCTCTGGACAGTGATTGCAGAGTGGGTTTTCCTGCAGTGCAGAAAAGAGAGGTTATCTTTTGTTGGAAATTTCAGCTCTTATCTCCAATCAGCTATTGGACTTAAGAGTGAGGGTTTCCTGCACAGAACTGTGGGGAGAAGAGGTGGGCTCAGTAATGAAGCTCCATGAGTGAGAGGTTCTCCATCCCAGCTTTAGAATTATGCAGGTTCACTAAGCCTCATGTCACTAAGCCTCTAGGCCTTCACTAGGCCTGCACCTCTTCTCCTTTTCCATTCATATTGCACATCTCCCTGTTTACTAGATGGACATGCCAGCCATAATTCTTGTAATATTGTCCAAGTGTTTGCACGTGTGGTGTAAAATGAGATAACCAATGCAGTAGGAACATAGGACAGCTCTCAATCCAAGTACTGCCTGTTGGGGAAGGGAGCATTCCAAAATCTAATCTAGTAACACTGCAAAAGAGAATGATTATCAATCTCTGACCTTTTGAACACGGCTGTTGGTCACATCTTCACAGTCAGGGGTAACATGGTGGCAAATTGCTTCCCAGCCAGGGGCAAATGGGTTGACTAAGAGGCAAAGAAAGATGAGTGTTTGCAGATGAAAATTTGCTTCTCCCTCAAAGTTACTGAAGAATTACTTTGGAATTAGGGATCAAGTTATTGAGGAATCACTATGTAATTAGGGATGGATTTTTGCATGTAATTCTCAACCTTGTTTATTTATACAATCAAATATTGTGGATTGCAATGAAACTTATTCCAGGTAAATATGCTTAGGATTGCAACAATGAAGCTTTTCTTCCTGAGCCTATGTCACCTCTGTCTTGTGCAGGAATACTATTAACCAAAGATTGTGCATCTACAACCTGTCTTGTGGCTCCCTCTTTGGGCCAGCAAGGAAAAAAAAAGCTAAATTCTTACAGTGAAGAGAAAAGCAAGTAACAGTTGAAGGAATGCCTGATTCCAGTTTTAGCTTAACAGATACCATGGACAGCAACAAAAGGCATTTTAACCTACAGCAGCGCATTTCAAATGCCCCTAAGGGAACCCTTTCCACATTGATATACATTGCACTGAATTCCGGTTAATGGTATGTATTGGTGAGGCTTTGATCCACTCCATCACCCATAAGAGGACAAAAACTCTATGATTGTATATTGTAATGGAAGGTCAGTGGTGATCAGCAAAGTTCCTTTCAGGAAGCTGTTGCAAAACCCCTGATCATTCTTATAAGAACATCAAGCTTCTCCAGAAGAGTGGACTCTCCACGTTCTCCATGTATGTTGGATTCTATACTTGCTCTTATACTTGGCCCACATTATGGCCACCTTGTTCTGATACAGAGATCACCCCGCCAACCTATGACCCCACAGCAAAAGTTGCAACATCTTTGGAAAGGATGATGAATACACACTGCACTTTAGAGAGGGTGTGTCCCTTCACAAGTGAGTCCCTACAGCTCTTCCCAAAACCACATGAAATAATGAACATGCCTGTAAGTCTACATCTTCTAATAAATACTTAAAGGAGTCTTTGGTGATACCAACGGAGGATTCCTCGACTAATAATGAGCAAGACAATGGAACAAGTGATAAGGGTGAAATCATTCTCTGTTTGTACAGAGTTTACCATTGAGTACTCTGTATCATGTCTTCAGGAAAGCTTTTGACAAAGTGCCCCATGACATTCTGATCAACAAACTAGCTAAAACTGGGTTAGATGGAACAACCATCAGGTGGATCCAGACTCCAGGCTCAGAGAATGCTTCTCAGTGGAACTTGTTTAGACTGGGGAGAAGTAACAAATGCAGTACTGCAAGGTTCAGCCCTAGGATCAGTGCTCTTCAACATTTTTATTAATGACTTGGATAAAGACGTGCAGGGAATGCTTATCAAATGTGCAGATGACACCAATTGGATGGGATAGCTAATACCCTGGAAGACGGAAACAAAATTCAAAGTGATATTGATAGGCTGGAGCACTGGGCTGAAAGCAACAGAATGAAATTCAGTAGGGACAAATGCCAAACCCTTGTAGAGAGTGAGTCTGTCTCTTGCTCATTACAAACTGTTCAGATATATTCATTTGGTTCTGAAGATGAGCTGGAAGACAGGGGTGAGCACAAAGTTTCAAGGCTACCTAATGAAGTTTCTTAGGCAAAGCATGAGAATTGGCCTGCTTTGGAAGAAGTGGAAGGGTTTTCAGGATGGGAGGGGGAGCATATGAGAGAGCCAGTCTGTGTTCCAGTACGGAGGTGATGGGAAAAACAAGGTGCCCAGTTAGAGGATCTTTGCTTTTCCCACTGTCTTGCCATCAAGCACCAAGAACTGCAGTGAGGGTAGAGTCAAAAGCTTTACTGAAAGTTCATGGAACTTTGTGGTATGTCAGGTAGGAAAAACAATCTAGCTCTGCATGGCCATTGTCTCCTAATGGCTAAAGGCCATGTTGGCAAAAAAAAGTTCTCTCTTCCATTACCTTCAAAAACTACAAACAGCTCATCTACCAGCCCGTGGTTAGGTCGCTTGACAGAATAGCACTTGTATGCTGGCTCGATGATGTGGCATGTCAGGTAGGAAATCAGATTGTTCAAGATTTTCTTTAGTTCTTCAAAGAATTGTTGATTTGCTGCTAGGCTGCACTCTTTGGTGGTGAAGTGAACAGATATTCGATAAGTATAATCTGGTTCTCTATAAGCTTAACAAGATAGAGGGAAAAGTAAATGTGCAGGTTTAAACAGAATGCAATATAATGTGCTGTTGTTGCTAATCATATATTAATTTATAAGGCATCTACATATAATAACTAGGGACTGCAGGTGGCGCAGTGGTTTAAACCGCTGTGCTGCTGGGCTGGTTGATCGAAAGGTCGCTGGTTTGAATCTGCACAACGGGGTGAGTTCCTGTTGCTCCATCCCAGCTCCTGCCAACCTTGCAGTTTGAAAGCATGCAAATGCAAGTAGATACAAAGGTACCACTTCGGTGGGCGGGTAACAGCATTCCATGCAGGTAACAGTGTTTAGTCATGCCAGCCACATGACCAGGGAGACTGTCTGCGGACAAACACTGACTCCCTCAGCTAGGAAACGGAGATGAGCACCACCCCCTAGAGTCAGGCATGACTGGACTTATTGTCAAGGGGAAACCTTTACTTTATCTTTATCTTTACCTTTACCTATAATAACTAGTGCATATACATAAAAGACACAGGCCTTGCTGCCTCAAGCTTGCAGCCCCAAATAATTCCTGCTTTTACCAGGATTGTAGGGGGAAAGGTTCTTGCTTCTGTCTCCCAGGCTATTCATCCACTTAAAATCCCTGTTTAGCTACTTGTTCCCCAAAAGGGAAAAGGTGCATGGATCCTGGAAACTTCCAGAAAGAGGGCTCCAAGTTCTACCAACCCAAAGCCATTGTAAAGTAACTCATCTTTCCCTCTTTAACAGACTTTTTGTGGAAAGGAAGAAAATAGCAGAAGTGATGGGAAAGCACAGGAAAGTCACAAATGGAAGATAACACTGTTTGAACCCGCTGTGAATGACAAAGGGTGTGGGTGTCACAATAGCTTAGTCTTTCTCAGTATCAGCTCAGCATCTTTTTCCAAAGTGGGGCAGAAAGGGGCTTTTTATGGGTAGTCTCTCTCTGGTGCTCTTAGTCCAAGCAAATCCTCTATGGGTGTGTGAAAGAAGAAAAAAAGCTGGGAGACACTTCTGCATTGCCTGCATTATGCCTAATTTGACTCTAACTCTTTGTGAGTTAGTGGAAGGGAATCCTTCCTGGATAATCTAACACTCCATCCCAAAGCTTTGTAGTCCACTCCTCATAAACCCTCACCTGATATTTTCCATTACACAGGGGAAAAGCGGCTGTGCCCTCATACCTTTTCCAAGCCTTGTGGAATTTTTGTTCTAACTTTTACATAAATATTTACACCTCTGTCAATCAGCTTCTAGACACAGCATCTATGCACGCTCTACATTTAGAAGGGCCACTGCAAAACAACTAAATAGGAGGTCTTCTTAAAAGAATTTCCTTTAAAGAAAAGAGGCTGTGGAAGTGAGCACATTTTTGAGTGCTCACTCAATTTTAGTTTGTGTCTTAAGTTGTTTATTTGGGTAAGAGATTCAGATTAGTCTGATTCAATTGTATTTGTGAGGCTAACATAGCATTCGTTTCTCTTACCATAAACCATAAATTTGTATGCCTTGACTTTTTCTTGTTCTACTTGCATGTCATTTCGGAAAACTCTGTAAGTAAGAGTGCAGGTATAAGGCCCAGACATGTGCTCTCTAAAGTCGTGCACCATCAACTTTCCAGTTTCTGTAAGGTTCACATAGCTTTTTCCTAAAAAACAAATGTGAAGAAAGGTCAACAAATATACAGCAGAATCCTAAAGATCCAGTGATTTAAGCAGCGGCAGGAGTGCAAAGGATCAGAAGGAAAAATTCTGGCACATAGACAAGAGTCATCTCATTTAGCTTCTTGGGCAGGGGAGCAGGCACTGCTGTTGGAAGCAATTATGACTACAGAGAGGAGGACTTAACCTGTTGAGCAGACATTTTGAACTTAGCAAAAATGCAGCTCAGTGTAACAGAAAAGGAGATATAGTGCTCCTCTATAAAAATGAGAGAGCAGGTAATATAGAAGTGGAAGACCAACTCTTTAGCTAAAAGAGAGCTAGCAAAAGAAAAATTATACTAGCATAAATTGGCCCTTAGCAAATTTAACTTGGAAGGCAGGGGGTAAACAAGCAGATTTTTTATCTTAGGGCATATTTACACTTAACACTGAGCTTAAAATGGCTTCCAATCATTCTTACTTGCAAGCCACCCAAAGGAGATATTTCAGCAATTCTGGAGGGTGAAAACAACATTGTCAAGAAGAGGTGAAACAAATCAGTTCTTTTGGCTGGCAGTTACCCCTCCCCCTTCTACCAGGAATAATTCCAGGTTATGACATAAAAAAGCATTGTAGTCCTTAGTGGTGGTTGCCCCCCCCCACACACACACACACTCCACTGCTGGATTTTTTTGTGCAATGAAACTACTTCACATTGTTGTGACAGTCCAAGGCAGGGGCTAGGGAGTGTGAAAACATCTATGAAATCTCCCCGAACTCAGCCAAAAGTACTTTGGGAGGGAGTTGGTCTAATATTACTCTGAACTACAAAGCCATATTGGTTTTATTACAGCTTAAGTATTACAGCTCTCTGCAAAGACTCCTGGAAATTGTACCCTGGGAAAGTGCTGAGATTTCCCTACATGCAGCGAGAGTCCCCCCCCCCCATTTTATTTCAAAAATAATTTCTTTGCCCCATTTTCTCAAGACTGTTAACTGATGTCCCCCTGCCTTTTTCACTTTTTGTCAGCCACCTCAAATAATATGACTATCTGGCATGTCTTTCAGATTAATCCTCTCTCTGAAATCAGGGTGGAGGTCTGGGCCCAGAAAGAATGTGCATCTGGTGATCCTTGTGGAGAAAGGGTAAGTCCTGCATTTAAGAAAACATTTAAACTGGATAATCTCTTGACCCATTCCAAATTCTATCAAAAAGTAACTCACCTTTTAGAGTCTGTCCATCTGGCCCGATCCATAGGTAGTTAGGGTCTATGACTTCACTCTGTGCAAGGGACACATCCATGCAGACTAGAAAGGGGCTGTCTCTGTGTACTTTTACATAGACATTCACTGAAGAGAAGGAGGAGGAGGAGGAGGAGGAGGCAGTTTTTATAACTTTCAAACAAAATGACCTAGTACTGTCAGGAATGGACTTCCATCTTAGCCACGTCCCTCACATGCTTGTTTATTTGTGAAGGACATTCTTATAACCACCTAGAATAGTATAATCCTAGATATAGAGTTTTCTTCTCACTGAGAACTAGACCTAAAGGGAAGCATAGACCATATGCTGGTGCTTTGATTGAAAGCTTTTGTCTAACTTCTTCTGGCTTCAAGACCTCTGACCCTGTTGGCTTCAAGTTGCAAGTGCTACCCTACTTTGCCGCTCTCTGGAAGCAGCCATGAGTACTCAGACCACTGTTGGTTGCCCTCTGCACCTGATACACAAGATTGTCAAATTGCCCTGAATCTGCTGGAAAAACAGAAGATTGCCCTTTTTCCTGCATAAAAGTGAAGGCTTTTCTCATTTCCAAAGTGAACCTTTGAGCCTCTGCCTAGTCACATAGTATATCTCTTTATTTAGAATGATCCAAATGGGACAGGTTGAACTTGTATAAATTATCTCTCCTGTTTTCCTTGGTTATCCTGTATACATGCATCTGTATTTCCTTAATTTTTGAAATGTATAATGCAATCTTACCATCATGGTTTATGTTGCCATAAATGTAATTCTTTTTAATTAACTTAACAGAATATTGTGCCTCGTCCAATCCATTTTGTACTGCAGAGAAAATAAAAACTATGTAAGCCAACTTGAGTTCCTTGAAAGGAAAAAAAGGTCACATATAAATATAATAAATAAATAAAATAATAAATAAAAATATAATGAATGTACATGAATCCTCTTGCTGCTTCATTGGAGCAGCATGGCAAGATATTTCCCACGTCTTTGATTTCCAACAAAGTCCCTAGAACAGACAAAATCTTCTGTCAAGAAGTCCTGTGTTCATGTGATAGAGGAAGGAAAACAATGGCCTAAGTCAGGGGTCGGCAACCTTCAGCTCCGGAGCTGCACGTGGCTCTTGAATCCCTCTGCTGCAGCTCCGTTGCTCAAAACACCCGCCAGCACAGCCCCCGATCTGCTACACGTGCTGGTACAGGTGCCGATCTGTGACCCGCGCCGGCACAGCACAGCCCCCGATCTGCAACGCGCCGGCACAGCACAGCGCCGACACAGCACAGCCCCCGATCTGTTTCATAAATGCAACATACTATAGTTTTTTTATACATAGCATAAAGGTAAAAAAAGATATATGCAGTGTTATTTTCATTTTAAAGGTCAAAAGAGTTTTGTGGCTCCCGGTCTTTTCTTTTCTGTGGGAAATGGATCCAAATGGCTCTTTGAGTGTTAAAGGTTGCCGACCCCTGGCCTAAGTGAGCTCAGAGCACTGCTGGCAAGAACTATTCTTCCAGAAAGAAAGAAAGGAAGGAAGGAAGGAAGGAAGGAAGGAAGGAAGGAAGGAAGGAAGGAAGAGGCAGATGTAAACCACCATGGCCCAATGTTAAATATCCCCCAACCTTCACATTGTTATGAATTTCTCTACCCCACCCACCAAATTTGTTTGCCTTTCTTGTGCCATTTGCCAATTTTTGTTTCTGCCGTCTTTGCAATATATAGGATATGGCAGTCATTCTACCAGCACGGGGGCAGTGATCTCCGCCTTTCCCCAAGCCTTCTGGGATTATAGGACTGCCCTGTAAAGAACCTATTGCCTTGTCAAACTTTCAAGGGTATTGGAGATGAACTCCATGGGGGCATACTGATTGATTATACAATGTATATACCAATATGACCATTATCAGGGGGTTTCTCTTTGTCACCAATGAAACTGAAAGATCTTAGGTTGCAAGCCCTCTTGGAAGCCTTGCCCCCTAACTCTGGTCATGTGGGGCTCAGTGCTGCATTACTCAGTGTTATAGGAAAGGGATGCTGTATATTCCCAGGGCCCCTACTGCACATGCTCTAGCCTCAGATTAAGTACTGCTAAGACTAGAAAGTGCCTCAAATCCTCTGCAACTTGCTGGGCCTCTGTGGGAAATGTGTAGGGATCCTTCAGGTAAATGGGAACGCACCCCTCAACGTTTAGAAGCCACTGCATTAGGGAGGTGTCCACTGAACTTTTATCAGAGACAGCAGTTACCTTGGTCCAGGGCCATGAGAGAGTTCAGCATGACCCCCACAGTAAGAAGAAGGACTGGGGCGATGCACTGGGGAGGGGACAACCAACCGCTGCCACCTTGCATGGTGCAAGAGAGAGCCCATCCTTCCCTCCTGCTCAGGCCCACTCAGCCTTCTGTCCAGAAGGAAGAGGAGAGGAAAGCAAAGCACCCCTCCCCCTCCCACTGGTGCTCCAACTGCCACACCAACCGTCTTCTGTCACCATGGCAACCTGTCTAACTCCCCAGTGATATTCCAGAGAGCCTGGGGTTCTGTGGAGGCTTGTTGGCATCCATGCTGGCAGACGAGTCTCCTTGACAAATGGCTTAGCCACCCATGATCATCGCCATCCTCTATTTAGGATGATGTGGTGCTATTGTTATTTTATAACCAGAGATTTTAGCCCTGGATGTCAACTGGTGATCATCTTCCATGTATCTTTCCTGAAACACCACCACATTGACAGAATAATCCGCAAGGGTCTTGGACAAATACTCACTTTTGGCTCAGCTGATGCTTCAGTGTTAATTGGGGGCCAAAGGTCCATGTAAGATGTTGAGTCCTTAGAAAGACTGTTTGTTTTTATACTCTTCTGATTGTCATGGCTGTGAGCCCCAGAAGGGCAGTACAATGGCATCTAATTACTGTTACCCATTTAGCACCACCCAGGGAGCACCCAGTGTAGCTTGAGAAATGCTATGGATGCTGGAAACTTTTGCCTCCCACGAAACAACACCAGAGGCGATCAGCTGGTTAAACTGAACTAGACATCCAGTTATGAGACTACCGCTGTACCCCTGCAGAAGTTTTGTACATATCTGTGCAGATTGTGCGTATATATTTGCTTTTTCTCTTGGCATGAACTCATCATGTGCTAAATAAATGATTAAATAAATAAATCATCACATTACCTTTCTATACTGCCCATAACTGAAGCTATCTGGGCATTTCACAACATTTTAGGTCACCCATCCAGATTTCAACCAGGCCTGACACTGCTTAGCTTCCAAGATCAGGCTGGATCACATACTTCAGATTATATGGAAACTTTCCCTGTGGTGGGCAGTTTATAAGAAAACACTTGGTGGGGTTACCAGTCGACCCTTCAGTCTGCACAGTGTGATTTTGTTTGGCCTCCTAAACAAGCCTGCTTCTCTCTTCTGCAGTGGAGGACACTGTCCTGTCACCACTGTGCAAGAAAGAGTCAACTGCCAGTCTAGGCAACTTCTATGCATGGAAATACTGAGGGGGACTCGCCATTTTGTCCTTTGCCTCAAGGCAGCAACATGTTTTGGTCTAGCCTTGCCCAGAATCTTCTGCAATAGGATAAGGGTGCCTCAGCAGACAAATCAATGTAGAAAGGGCTACCTGAAGGCACATGTTTTGTGAACCAAGAGCATCTTTTTAGAACAATAAAGAGTCTTGCGGCAACTGAAAGGCTAATAAATGTATTAACTTTCATTCCACTACATTAGATGCATGCAGTGTTACATTTGTATATATTTAGAAGTTCTTGTTATGATTGCCTCACTAGCTTAAACTGTGTGCATAAAGGGGAGTAAGTCTCGTTGGACACAGGAGAACTTACCTGTGAGTAAATGTGCACTAGTAATATTTAAAACAACAGATTCTTGGGACAATTTGAAGTCTCTGGGGGAGGGTGTTGCACCACACTGCAACACCCTGAATTTTATCCAAGCACTGTGGGCAAAATTGCCATGTGCCTGACAGCCAGTCAGGCATGGTGGGGGATTGTGTCCCTCCTTCTCCCTGCTTGGCCTTTCTGCATTATCCCAGAAGAAAGCACAGGAGACCTGAGGAGAGAATGATGACCACAGCTGAAAGGTGGCACTCTGGCAAGTGATTATCCACCTTCCCTTCCAGCTTGCCCTCTCTTTCAGCTGGGAACGGCAGAGGGGGGCAAGGAGGGAGCCCAGGAGACCAACATGAGGCAGCCAAGACACACTGCAGCCTAGCAGTGAGGAGGCCACCCTCACCCCTTCCCACTGCTCAGCTGTGATATGCTCCCAGTGAGCCAGGAGGCCCAGTTGATTGTGCAGTCCTGGCCTCAGTCCCCAGTCCTCTAGCCCTTGGGTGGCACAGCCCTTGGGGGTGCCATGCCAGCTGGAGTGGAGGTGTGCCATCCGCTGCCATACATCCCTTTCCAAGTCACTCCTAACCTTCCTAAGGAAGGCAAATGGAGCATCTCATTGCCACCTGCCAGCACTGGCAAGAGTAGACAGGATTCAGCCTTTGCTCCTTCCCAAGTCTGCAGTGTAATGTTAAATTCTAGGAAAGGAGGAGGCATGCAAGGTAGGCGACAAGAAGGAATGCGTCTTGCCCTGTTGCCCCTTTCCCCACAGAGGAGGAGGGGGAATGAGGCTGGGGCACCCAGCTGCTGTACTTGTCTTCATCTCAAGGAATCAAGCAGAACAGCACCTTCACCACTGAGAGACTGTTTCTTCCACCAAGGGTTGCCTCCCCTGGCCCTTAGTGGTACCTGGGAATGTTGTGCACTTCATGGCTTCCCTGCAGCTCCTGTTAATGCTGAAGAGAGAGTGGAATTACTCACAAGCAACTCTGCTCTCTCTCACACATAGTAAGAGTCTTGGGGGAAAGTAGCAACATCTGCACTTTGCCAGCTCTCATCAGCTTGAACTCCATGGCCAAAGTCCTAATGATTTTTGGCTAGACAGTAGCTTAGCATGTCATCTATGTTTGGAAGTCACAATGACTTATTTAAACTGGACAACAAACCATGGGTAACTGGAGTAGTTTATAAACCTCTCCATGAGGGCTGTGCTGGGTTCAGACAACACCTTAACCCAGTGTTGCTTACATGTCATGGTGGGTTATAGTGTTCTTTGAGCCCAGTCTCTTTGTCCCTTTTGCTAAAGCAGACCAACAAAGTTTCCCCTCCAGGATTTTTATGTTCAGTGTTTTCAGATAATCAGAAGAAAATACAAAGTCCCTGTCCCCCATTTCCTCACACAAAAACAAGGGCCCAGCTGCCTCTCTGTTTGGAGGGCAGCGTTTTTGGCTAAACAGAACCACTGCAGCTCCTCTCTTCTTGTATAAATTAAACAGAATGCAAAAGTGCTGCAGCTTGAATGCTGGAGGAACAACATGGCCATGTAACAGACATTTAGAGAAGAATGGCTAGATCCCTGTCTCTATCAAATGAGTAAAAACAACTAAAATTATTGAACCTCCGAGTGTCTTTTTGCACCAGATCTTCCACCTTCCCCCACCACCTGGGCGCGCTATGTTCCTTTGCAACATACAACCATTTCCTGTCCCTGTCAAGCGTCGATGTCACTGCAATGCAAGACAGCTCCTTTCTGAAGCAGGAGCTTGCCTGGTTGGGAATCTTTCATTTTCCCTCCCTGAAGTTTAGAGGAATACCACAACCTAGAAGAGAAGCATCTGGAGGAGCTGCTGCAGAACAAAATGGAAGGTGAGCAATTCTGATAGGTTTCATTTTTAAAAAGTGAACGAATCTCCTATTCCTCTTCTTTTATATTTCTGTGCAAGTAGAGCTTTGATCTTTCCCCTGCTCTATTTTTAAAGGGCAAATTTGTTTCAAAGTTTCTCTCCTTAAAAATGTATACACAGATGTGGGCTGCATGCACACTTGGTAGGTCCCCAGGACCACCATGCTGTGTATGTTATATATACCAAGACTCAATTTCAGATGAGATGTTGGGAGAGCACAAAGTACCGCAAAGTCGCTCATTCTATGGAAATAATGGAGCAATCGATTGTTTTATCTGACTTTTCTAAGTGTATTTGGGCTACTGTTAACCTAACCCTATCAACTAGGATATTACAACAGCTTAAGGAAAATGTAGAAGCCCTTTAAAATACTCCCAGAATTGTAAGATCTGTGCTTCTAGTTTATCCCTACCTATTAAAACATTGTAACTTTTTGCAATCACAGAGCAACATTTTAAAAGCAAACCTTTAAAATACTTAACAGCATAAAACTGAACTATTTTTGGCCTTGATAGCTGCATAAAATACATCTCTAATGTAGGTTGATTGCTGAGCATAATTAAGGCATTACTTTCTCCTGTTGCCATTTTATTTATTTTCTATACCACCCAACAGTCGAAGCTTTTTGGGTGGGTTTCTTGTTTTAGTAATTAAAAGTGGTTTGGTTCCCTGTGTTGCAGAGGTGTGCGAACACACCCTAAAAGGCATCTAGAGGTTCAAATTTCAGGTGAATTGGTGTGAAGGACAAAGATTGCATTCCTGCACACACTGGCTTTTGAAAGTAAGTTGAGCTCAGCAAGATTTACAGTACTTCCAAGTAATAAAAAATAGGATCTGGCTTATTCTTTATTTTCCTGTCATTTATTTTTACATGTATCCCCATAGTGTGCAGTTACACTGAATTCTACCTTGTAACATATATCTTCTATCACTAGTTTTTTACATGTTAATCTGACAGGTGTTTATTTGATGTGCAGAGTAGTATGTCAGGATGGCCCCAAGGAATATATAATCAGTATTATAGATATATATAATCAGACCAACCCATGTCCATGAAAAGGATTTGGGGTTCCAAAGAACCTTTCATACAGCAAAGCTGATAGGTTGAGTCCAATATACCTGGTAGCATTGATCCAGCAGATTGCCCCATAAGAGATTGTTCTTATTTCAAAACCTTCATCTCCTAAGTAGGTCTGTGGGGTTTCTCATTTCTCCTTCTTCTTCTTTTAACAAAGTTCATTAGATACTACCAAATATGGTCTACAAAATATAGTTATTGCTCTTTATGGGGACTTCAATCTTTAGAGTATTAAGCCATTTTAATCCCAATGGGATAATTTTCTGAATCAAGATGACTATTTTAAATGTTTGCTTGGTGCCAAAACACTGTGCTAAGTGCTTATACAGAGGTGACAAGGTTCCTTCATCCAAAGGGCTTATACACCCTCAAATACATGTTCCTGGGCTGTGGGTTCTGTTGGAGAGAGGAATAGATAACCCAGATTCTCTGATGCATCATTTTGAGCTGAAATCTAGTTTCAGGCACCAAAATAAAACTAGCATTTAAAAAACAATATTTTAATTTAAGAAGTAAGGGGTTTCTTCTAAAGGTAAAATCCTTTACTGATTTTTAGCTCTGTGAGTAATGACTCACAACTTTTTCTTTCTCTGAAAGCCAGAAGAGGAGCTCAGAATTACTTGAAAACTTGTTCCCATCATTTAAAAATCCAGCATTGCTTCATTTGCCATGGATGCCATTTAGAAAGGGCACCGAAATCCACATTTCAAACTACATGACATTATTCCTCAGGAACACCACATCTCCTCATTAATTCTACACATAATTCTTATAAACAATGAAAAAAACACAAATTTGTTTGCTTCCAAAAATATGATGTGTCTATGGGAAATATATATGTCTCTATGACCTGGATTCCTAATTCTATTAATTATTTACATTTAAAATGGTGCAATTGTTGTTACAATGTCATCTTTACAGGCTTTCTGTGAATTTTTCCCAAATTGTAATGGCTTCCCTGATATTTGTTTTATTCCTTGTTCTTTGAGTTCAATTATATTAAGCTATGAAGATCAGGAAGCACAAAATACACATTATATTATGCAAACACGTGTAACAAAGCCACAATAGTGTCTATTTGTAATTGGAAAGCTGCCTCAAGAGGCCAAGATGTTTAGGGAAGGAACAGAGGAATGGTGTCCTGGGTGGGTAGAACATGGTGGGCATGTCGTGAGTGGAGCCGGCTGGTGCCGGAGGTCAGACTAGGTGGCCCAGGAGACCCCTTCTGACTTGCTCTGTTTCTATGTTTCTAACTGGGCCTAACCCGTTCCCCACTTGTTTTTCCACTCAAAACAAACTCATCCAGGTAGTTTGCTCCATAGCATTCTTTATGCTGCACTTGTTATATGCAGACTGGAACGAGGTAAAGCACTCCCTTTCCTCTGCTCAAAATCATGTTCTCATCCTCTAGTTTCTTTTCTGATCATGTTATGTACTCTCTCCACTCGTTTTTAGTTGTTCCTCAGAGATCTAGTCATTACAATACTGTGATCTAATCAAAGATTATTAAAAGCCGTTTCCATCCTTTTTTGGAAAAAGGATGTTGCCCCTCCCTGTAAATCACTGGACGCAAATGGCGAACCCAGCAAAAAGCTCTGCGAGCTGAAATAACTCATGATCACGGCTAGAGACCAGTATCCGTCATCTCCAAGTGCTGCTTGGGTACTTATGGGGTGGCTGTTCCTGGCAGGTACCTGGGCAAACTTGGCAAGAGTAGCAAGGTTTTTTGCCAAGTGAGTCACTGGTCTTTTCCTGGTGTCCATGAAGGGTTGGTCACCTGAATTCACATGACATGACTAGGTGTCATGTGCACAACAACCTCCAGAGCAAGCCCTAAGTTGATACAGGGGCCTGCTGACCTCAAGGATGCTACCCTATGGCATTCAGTCTGGGTTAGCATGACATGATCAACCACCAAGTCCTGTCACTCAGACCTTGTCACTTAGAGAGATTTAGGGGGTGCTGGTCCCTTTTCACAAATGTCAGTGCAAGTTGCTAGAGTTGCCGTGCTTCCGAAGTCAGCCCCTCCCCTGAGATCTCTAGAAACTACACCTTGGAATGTGATGGGAACTGTGTACCTTGACTCTTTTGGCTATACATGTTTTGGAAACACATTTGCATAGTCACAAAGTGCCCGTGCACTACTTCCTTTCCCTTGCACTTCCTTCCATAAATAACTAACCATCATGCTGAACCTGTATACTCATACAGGTGCAGCTGTTCTATTATAAGCATAACCAGATCCATTGTCAGACAAATTCTTAAGATATTTTTTAAAGAAAGCTATTCTGGTCTATTTGTTAGCACGTCTTTTTTCAGAAGCCAGCCACTGTAGAGCAAGTTGCTGCACAGTTACTGCACAGTTAATAAAAGCAGATGTAGAAGATTAAGATTCTTATAGGTTTTTTAAAGGAAATCATTCTGGTCATCCGTATGCAATTTGCAGGGAAGCAATAATCTTTGGTATGAAAACAGAGATCTCACATGAATGTCAGTTTAAATCTGTGAAATATTTAAGGGATGAAATCTTTTACCTGGAGAGGTAGAAAGCAACTGAAGCTCTTTTTCCCAAATCATGATGTTCCTAGTCTCTCTCTCAATCTTTCTGTGTATCTTATTCAGATGATGTTCATTCTTCCCAAATGATAAAAATGAAATGTTGCTGTGCTTCATTACTAATAGAGTGACGAGCTAATTCGGACTTTCTTAGAAATACATTCTTTAACCTAGAAGTCCATTCTTCCAGTCCCAGATGCTTGGTGAGAGGCCTGGGTGTGGTAACGCAGTGGTGAAGGAATTAAACTCTGCATATTCTTAGAGGCATTGACATCTTTATTGCTTTAGCCAATGCTACTGAACTGAGTATTTGCATTCAGTACCACTTCAGGGGCTAAGTTCAGATGATCTCTGATTTAAACTACATTCCATGCACTTATCAGCAATCATTGAGTTGCATGTGAGAGAGCCTCAGTTGGTTATTGAAGGCAGGACTGACCAACTGGTGGCACATGGGTCACATTCAACGGCTAGCTGCTCCCCTTAGCCCTCTACCACCTGCCAGCTCAGAAGTGTTGCCTCAGCTGATTAAACTTCAAAATGTTGGTAAGCTAAATTCTTTCTGATGATGGCATGTGAATGTCCCATCACTTCATTAATAGACAAAGTGTTAGAATCATATTTAGTTTAAAGTTAAATCCTATCAGTGGGACTTAGATTAACCATGATGGACTTCCCCATTGATTTCAATGGGTCCACTTTAAGTATGAATAAATCTGGATTGAACCCTGTATGTTCAAGCCAGTGAACTCTCCTCCTCCACTGATGGAGCACAAATCTATCCTTTTTATTTCTAATTTATACTTTAGTTTTAAACTTTTAAACTTGTACAGTATTTTTTAATTTGTTGTAAGACATCCAGAAAGGTTTGGCTATTGGGCAGTACAGAAATGGAATCGATGAGGAAAGAAAGCAGTTGATTCCCGCTTCCCAAACTGTTGCTTTCCTGTGAAATAAAAATTCTGTTACCTGGATAGACCCTACCTGGCTTGGAGGCAAGACAAAGGGTATTTGGGGCAAGGTTATCTGTTTCTAGCAAGACCAGGGGAAATTTTATCCCTCGCTTTTTGCCACTGACTTAAAAAGGCAAAAGATTGCATTACAGAAATTCTGTCCTATGGATAAGGTACAGCACTTTACTTCATGCTTTTGTTCTCCTCTCCTCAGCCAGTCTATTCTATGGAGATAGGTATTAGCAAGGTTTTAGATGATTGTGAGGAATAGAAGTCACAGTGACTTCTTTTCTCTACCTCCATGTATGCTGGATATGCACCACACAATTACCCTTGTGGCATGCAGCTTGCTGTTTCATCCAAACCTGGTGAGGTTTGTAGTGAGTGACTTCACAACCATCCCACAACACATGACTTGTTGTAGAGTTCTGGGATGGCTACAAAGCTCCCCCCTCACACACACATATACACTGTACACTTTGCTGGGTTGGGATGGTACAGCAAGCTGTATACTCTAAGGGCAACTAGGCAGATCACACAGCATGCCATGAACCTGGTATGTCCAATGGTTTGGAAAATAAACCACTGTGGCTTCTTTTCCTCATAATTATCCAAACTTGGCCACTCTGCTATTAGTGCTGGATCCAGAGAACAAATGCTTTGAAGTTCAGAAAAAAGCTAAGTGGCTGGTGGTGGTTTGGAAAGGCCTTCAGTTATCAAAGTGCTTATACTGAGATGTTGTAGAGGCCCTGTGTATGTTCCATAGACCTTGGTGGTGAAGTGAGGGAAGTGGTTAACACTTTCCTGCTGCTTTATCTGAACTAAGTTTTGCAGTTATGTAACAGCCAGGACTAAGGGCTGGGGCTCGTGTCTTTTGGTTTGTTTGTTTTTTTAAACAGACATCAGATTCTCTGATAGGGAGATCAATGGAGAAGAGAAGGAAGCCATAGAGACGAAAGAGAAAGAAGCAGAGAGGCCAAAGTGGCACCATTAAAAACTATGAATACTTGAGTAATCTCCTCACCCCATCCCCATCCAAAAAGGAGCTTTCAGTCCATATTCCTCAGTGGTTTGTCAGGGATTCTTTGATAAGATTCATAATGTCAGACAACCTGCCTGCCATTCAGCTGGTCTACCATAACTTATCTCCTGCTGCAATGTGCAGCTGGGGTTGCCAACCGAGCATTGAAATCATGGGCAGGGACCTATCAGGACATAAGGGAGGAAATGGAAGGGAAGGGAAGCCTAAGAGCATTTGTTTTGTTTTCTTACTTGAAGTGATGTAATGCATTTGAAATTCCTTTCTGGACTAAAGTCTCATCAGTATGCTGATGAAAGCCAACATTTTTCTCTTTCATCTGAGTTAGGAAAGGCTGAGCAAGGCTGGATCAGTGTCTGGGGGCAGAGGGGGCCTGACTGAGAGCCAGTAAACTCAGGCTGAATCCTAACATGATGGAGTCCCTGTGGAGAGGTGGTTTCTTTGCTCAGAATTGGGGATGCTTCCTTTTCTAGATGGGGTTGCACTTCCTCTAATGAAGCAGATATGTCGCTTGGAGGATGCTCCTAGATTCCTCACAAGTATTCTTCATGAAGAGAAGTGCTTTTTTCAAACTTCAGTTGATACAGCCATTCCTCGACAAGAATTCTTTGACAAGAATATTGGTATTGGTAACCTCAAGACTGGACTATTGCAATGTTGCTTATGTAGGATTGCCTGTGAGGCTGGCCAGGAAAAAAGATGGCATGAGTAGTCTACTGGGAACATAGTCTCCCAGTTCTGAATGTACTGGAAAGGCTACCAATAAGTGACTGAGCCAAATTCAAGGTAAAGCCCGATATGACTTAGGACCTGGATATATATGTACTCAGCTGTTATGAGCAAGTGGGGGTGCCCTGCAGAAGGTGCCACATTTACCTGGAGTTTGGTCTACAGTGACCTGAGAGAGGGCATTCCCAGCCCTTTCATATATCACTGGGATGGAGGCTTACAAGTGTTGGGTACCAATGCAGGAGCTATTTGTTTGTTGGCTGAATATATTTTGATTCATTGTAAAAACTATTGTGTTAATTCTCCTCATTGATTATTGGTGGGTTAGATATTGCATGACTTTATTGGTTGTTTTGGGACTATTTTATCATGAAAAGTGGGATTTTTTTTTCACAAATAAATAACCAAGCATACTGAAATTAAAAATATTTTTTTTAAAAATGCTCACTGGCTGGTTTTCCTGCCCATGGTCAAGATCCATTGACCATTCCCAGCAACATGGAATGGTCAATGGATCTTTGAAGGGCTTATTATATGGTCCAAATATGGTTTAATCTTATGTGAGGCAAAGTGGTGAGCCTGTTAGACTACATGATTTGGGACCATTTCAGTCCTGCAGAGTTGTCATTGATTTTACAAAACTTTAAGAGACTGAACTGTTTCTCTGGTATCTTATCAGATTCACCTGCTGGCATGGACCTCAGCCATTGTCAGGAGGAACAGTCCGAGCAAGCAGGTAATGTACCATGAAGCCCTTTATTATCCCCCACCCTGACATTGTTCTCCTGCCTGCTACCCTGGAGGTGATTCCTACTGGCATTCAGATAAGTGACTAAGTCAAACCATGATGAAGGATGCCTAAAATTTAAGTTGGTGGTATATATGAAAACATCCTTTCAGTACACAGAGTGAAGCCTAAACATTTGAAGTTTACTGATTATTTGATGCTATTGCTCAGGTTGTTGAACTGTATTTCTAGAGCTAGGGTTTGAAGCCAGGAGGTGGGGTTTGAACCCATGTGGACATTGGAGCTGAAAGATGCCAAAGGAACAGAGTTCTTAACACAGTGGTGCTGACTTTGTCAGGTTCTTTCTCTGCCTCACCCATAAATGATGGGTGTACGTTTCCGTTGAGTGAAAGTCCTACAAATCTTAAAACTCATAAAAAGTGCTACCTAAATCATTAATCATCATTGTTGTTCAGTCATGTCATTAAAAAATACTTTCAGATGTTCAGGAAATTTTGACTGATGACAATTCTCACACACCCCATGAAATGGAAAACATGGACAACAACGAAGATGCAAAGGAGTATCATTTGACTAATGGAGGAGGAAGAGAAGGTAAAGTGGAAATTTTTCTAATAATTTCGTAAAAAATACAACATATGTCAACAAGAGCTGCCAGTTTGAATCAAGTTAACTGAACTGACTAATCAGTTAAAGACCTTCCACAAGGTTTTACAATCTTGATTTGATTGGGCTTCATGTTCCTTTCTCTTTTACTCTTTTCCCTTCTAAATCAGCACCTGCCATTTCCATTCCCCTCTCTGCTGCTTTGGTGAAAGGGAGGGGAGAAGTTGGAGGTTCAGAGTTCTCTTACATGCAGTGGCATTCCTTGTGGACTGTGCAAAGGAACACTTAGCCTTTAGCCAAGTACAAGCAAATTAGCCCAGAGACAGGAGCCTAATTCTCTCCAGGGTGTGATTGGCTTGGTTATCCCACTGCAGTTTTTGTGTGATGGCGGTGGACTAATATGACCAAAACTCATCCACACAGAAACATTCCTCCATGTGGAAATGTTCTAGCCTAGCCTTCTCCCTGACATGGTAGTTTTCTAGGCAAAGGAAATACATACATGCATATTCTCACGTAGTTAGTGAGAACTGTCCCAGAGTTTCTGTGCTTTTAATAACTATACAGCAAGAGATTTTTGTGGGTGCAGCTTTTACCACCCTGCTTCTGTTAATCTTTTCTTCTACAAGGGAGAAATGCCCTCTCTTCCCTTCCACCTGCTCATCTTAACAGGGGCAGGAGAGCTTCTTTGAGCTTCTGTGGACCACCATCTTCTCAGCACAGTCGATTTGCAATTCCCAGGACCAGCCAAGTGCATTCTCACACCAACAGATGTTAGTCCAGATATGTTGCCTTTATCTCACTTGTATCTGTGGAGTTAGCAGGACGGCAACTGTCTACACCAAAAGAAGAGATAAGGTGCTAAAGCGATAAGGAAGAAGGCCGTGAACTTCCTCTCTATGTACCCTATTGCTGTGGCTCCGACTGACATTGTTGTAAGGCTTCAATTAAAACCCCAAATGTACTGGTCTTGTTTCTCCTCAGTTAACAGCAAGAATACCATCAATGCCTGCGTTTAATTTGACCCAGCTTGCACATTTTCACTGTGCACAAAAGGGATCTACTTGCATGAGCATGTATGCTGGAGAAAGATACGTGCAAAATTCTTTGGTGGTTACTTCAGTGCCAAAGGAATGCCTCATCTGGACCTTTCTTGATCATGGAGTAGCCACTGATCTTGTGCTTTTTTGCAGGCAATTGTCCTGACAGCCAATTTTCCCTTCCCCCATCAAATTAGTTTAAAGTCACAGGAAGAAGAAACTCCCACACTTCTCTATGTAGCATGCCCCATTTTCAGAATTGTATTCCTAGCTGCCATTGCCTCTCTCCCTCAGCCAAAACCCAGTGTAGATGCTCCACAGTCCATCTCCCCTTCCTATCTGGGTCTTGCCCTTCTGCCTATTCTTATACACCAGTTCTCATGTTCCATGCTTTAGAAAGACAAGTTAAAGGGGAGGCTTTTTTGCCTCACTTCCCCATTAATGTTCCTACGTTCCCCAGTGTGCATACTTTCAGGGCCTTCCCTCTAGTACATGGGTGGCCCCCCTTCAACTCTGGTAGAAAGAGAGACTACTTTTTGCTCTGGCACTGCCCACTGCTGATGTGTGGTCCCTGACAGATTAATCCCGAGGGAATGCAGCCCTTGATGGAAACAATTTTTTCCACCACTGCTTTACCCCCCTCCTACCTGTACCCCTTCCCATCACACTGCTACTTCACTAATTTTCTGCAAGACCATGGTGAGTTCAGAAGCAGCAACCCTTTTGATTTTGTGTCTGCAAAAAAAAGAGGAAAAGGTTTACAACTGAGATGACTGCTTTGCACCTTGAATCAATGTGGTGATGGTGGCACTTATGTGAGTGCAGAAGAAGCACATACAAAAGGCTGGCACAAGGTGGGAGAATCTGCCCAAAGTTCTTGCGGGTGGTTAGTTAGTGTCCCAGTCTCTCTTACCTTAGAAAACATATTTCTATGCAATCAAAGGAAATGCTGTGCTTTTATCAGAATATTATATCTCTTGTGTTGTCCTTTTACTGGGACAAAATTGGGGAAGTGAAGGACTTATCTAGCAACCTCAGCAAGTACATCTCTGTAGAACTTCACTGAACAGAGGGCTTTAGAAAGGATTAAAAGGTTCACAAAGACTATGGAATTTGAATTAACTGTACTGAGACTGATCTCTTTTGATGGCAGTTTCTGTTTGAAACTCAGTCTGGGCTCTACCTTCTCTGTATATTGTTTTGCTTTATTTTATCAATCTGTATCTTCACCAGGGGAATCAAAATACACAACCTATTGTTTATGTACTCATAACTTATTGCTTATGTAGCACTTTACAGAGTAAAATAAGCTTCATAAAAGGCTGGTTCCTGTTCCTGAGGAGCTTGCAGTGAAAGACAAGGTAGGGGAGGAAGAGATAAAAAGTCGATATATATTTTTATTTAATCTTAGTCAATATTTGTGTGTATAGAGAAACCGAACTTGGAGGATCACACAATTCAGAGCATGTGAACTTATGAAGCTGCCTTAAATTAGTCTATCTAGCCCAGAATTATTTGTTTTGACTGACATGAACTTGCCGAGGTCTTGAGGAGGGCTTTTTCCCAGCTCAGTAGCCTTTAATAGAAATGTTAGAGATGGAAACAGGGACCCTACATAGCATAGAATCATAGAATAGTAGAGTTGGAAGGGGCTATGAAGGCCATCGGGTCCAACCCTCTGCTGTTGCAGGACACCAATTTATAGCATCCCATTCAGATGACTGAATGTCTCTAGTGGGGAGAGCTCACCACTTCTCTAGGCAGCTGGTTCCACTGTCATATTACTCTGATAGAGAGGAAGCTTTTCCTGATATCTAGCCTGAATCTAGGTTGCCACAGCTTGACTTGATTATGCTGTGTCCTACACTCTGGTATTAGCAAGAAGAGATCTTGTCCTTCCTCTTTGTGACAGCCTTTGAGGTACTTATAGATATCATGTCCCCCCACCACCCAGTCTTCTCTTCTCAAGGTTGACCATGCCCAGTTCTCTCAGTCTCTCCTCAAAGGGCAATGTTTCCAAACCCTTAATCAATTTTGTTGCCCTCCTTCAGGCCCTTTCTCATTTTTCTGCATCTTTCTTAAATCTTGGTGCCCAGAACTGGACACAGTATTCCAGATGTGGTCTGTTTAGTATAGTATAGAGGAACTACCACTTCTCGTGATTTGGAAGTAATACTTCTGTTAATGTATCCCAAAATAGCATTTGCCCTTTTCGCGGCTGCATTGCTTTGTTGGCTCATATTTAGCCTATTGTCTATAACTACTCCAAGTTCTTTTTCTTGTTCAATTCAATTGAGCCATGTATTCCCCATCTTGTATTGATGCATTTGGTTTCTTTTTCCATGGACTTGGCACTTGTCCTTACTGAAACTCATTCTGTTGCTTTCAGCCAAGTGTTCAAGTTTATCAAGATCACCTTGGATCTTCATTCTGTCTCCTAGGGTGTTTGCTATTCCACCCAGTTTTGTATTGTCTGGGAATCTGCTAATCTTTCCCTGTGACTCCTCATTCACATCATTAATGAGGATGTTGAAGAGTAATGAGCCCAACCACTGAGCTATGGGATCTTACCATGTCCTCTACCACATTAGAGAGCCTCAGTCCTTCCATCTAGAATGATGGGAAGAATCTGAAAGGACACTTATGCTCCTGCTGATTCTTATCTACTTGCTAATTCCCCTCAGCAAGCAATGCACTATGCAAGCAGGAATCACCACTTACACAAGGAAGAGCTAGCGCTTTGTAGAAAACCCTGGAAGGGGCAGATCAGTGGAGCTCCAGCAAGCTGCCCTAGGAGCATCCTGTTGGATTCTGTCCTTCAATTCCCAAGATTCCTTTATTGGGAATAATAATGTTTTTAAACAGGTTAATGCAGTTTTTTCAAGCTGCATTTTGGATTACTTGTAAGCCTATCTAGCATTTTGGTGAAAGACAGCTTGCCTGGCATCACCAATCTTCCCTTATGAAGTAACCAGGTGCATTCTTGCATGAATTTGGAGCTCTCAGATGAAGTAGCTACAAGCTTGAACAGTATCCCATACAACTTGAGAGAGTGAATTAGAACTTGCCAAATATCTCTGCAATTTTCAGTGATTTGCAACATGGGTTCTCATCTGAAATGAAGGTAGGAAATTTGAAAACAATCAATGTAGTCCTTAGTTATACTTTCCGGAAAAAAATCGCTTCAGATGTCTTCGTACCTTCTACAGTGGAGGCAAAAGCTCCCAGTATCTGAAAATCTTTCCCCCTGATCTGATTTGCCTCAAGCTTGTTTATTATTTTGCTTCCTAAGAGTATGTTTTCTTTTTGTCTTGGAGGTAAGCTAATTGGCAAAAAGCATTCATGCTTGATAGGGAATTTGGAAACTTTTGTTGCTATTTTTAGTATGTGAAATTTTCACCAGGTGTTCACTGTCTGTTTGGGTTCATTGAGGCATCACCCAAGAAGTGAGTTATTTAAATGAAAAATGAGATAAAAAAGCAATTCCTCTCTGCACCAGTGTTTCAGTGGACTGGGAGATAAACCACAAACAAGAAAGAGCTATGAGTCACACCCTATCACAACAGTATGGCAACCACTTCCCTGCCATTTCTTCCCACACTGCTCCAGTAACGGCTCTGTGTCAGAACTATGTGGGTGGGATGAATGACATGGTTCTGAAATATTGGCATTAAGGTGGAGAGGTGTGGGAAGAAACCATGGAAGAATGTTTCCTATCCTCTGTGGCAATGAGTGAATCAGTTCTATGAGTGTGGCCACAAATTAGCTTTTCACGTGAAATGTAGCCCCTTGTAAATTAGACTAGTATCTGTAAGTAATCTAAACAAGGAGGAAGGCCTTCTTGGTGGCAGCCCCCAAAGTGTGGTATGATCTCCCCATTGAAACTGACTTAATCATAAGTCCTTCAGAGAATCTTGGGAGTTATCATTTTTCAGCAGGTGCTCTCTA